AGCACCGATACTTACCTCCAACCTGAGACCCACAGACGGTGCAATTGACTGCAGGACTGCTGAGCCAGGCACAAGCCATTTCACATGCACTTTCAGACATTGCTCCTGGTGACAGCCCTCCAGTGAGAGCTCACAAAGGAGCAGGCCTTGGAGGGGAGCGATGGCAGAAATCCAACCCTCGTAGACTTGGTGCAGCCGTTCCGGTGCCAATAGCAACGGCCATTTGGAATAGTAACTTTCCAGGGCCGGGCGCGGTGGCTCAAGCCTGTAATCCCAGCACTTTGGGAGGCCAAGGCGGGTGGATCACGAGGTCAGGAGATCAAGACCATCCTAGTCAACATGGTGAAACCCCATCTCTGCTAAAAATACAAAAAATCAGCTGGGCATGGTGGCTCGTGCCTGTAATCCCAGCTACTCAGGAGGCTGAGGCAGGAGAATTGCCTGAACCCAGGAGACAGAGGTTGCGGTGAGCCGAGATCGCGCCATTGCACTCCAGCCTGGGTAACAAGAGCGAAACTCCGTCTCAAAAAAAAAAAAAAAAAAAAAAGGAATAGTAACTTTCCAGATGTGCCTCTGTCAGCCCATTGAATCCAGTGACCACTGAAATGTCAGGTTCTCTTGGATCATGTAGAGCTATTTTAGGAAAGTGTCTGCCCGTGGGAAAGCTCCATTTCCCAGCCTCTCCTTGTGTCTATATAGGGGAATATGTCTTGGTTTTGCCAATGGAATCTGCAAATGAAAAGTCGGTGTTACTTCGGGATAGACGAGATGCAGAAAGGGGTTCTTCCGGCCGGGCTGCGGTGGCTCACGCCTGTAATCCCAGCACTTTGGGAGGCCGAGGCGGGTGGATCATGAGGTCAGTAGATCGAGACCATCCTGTTCAACATGGTGAAACCCCGTCTCTACTAAAAATACAAAACATTAGTTGGGCATGGTGGCGCCTGCCTGTAATCCCAGCTACTCAGGAGGCTGAGGCAGGAGAATTGTCTGAACCCAGGAGGCGGAGGTTGCGGTGAGCCGAGATTGCGCCATTGCACTCCAGCCTGGGCAACAAGAGCGAAACTCCGTCTCAAAAAAAAAAAAAAAAAAATATATATATATATATATATATATAAATTAGCTGGGCATGGTGGCGTGTGCCTGTAATCCCAGCTACTCAGGAGGCTGAGGCAGGAGAATTGCCTGAACCCAGAAGGCGGAGGTTGCGGTGAGCCGAGATCGTGCCATTGCACTCCAGCCTGGGTAACAAGAGCGAAACTCCGTCTCAAAAAAAAAAAAAAAAAAAAAAAAAAAAAAAAAAATCCATGTGACTAGCAGAATCCACACTAAACTTTGTGTGTGCAAGATAACAGCTTAGTGCTGAATGTCAGGCGTTGAAGGCAGGTTACCAGATCCGCTCACATTAGCTTCCAATACAACCCTCGTAATTAACTTCCATGGTAGACACTTTTGTAATTTCCATTTTACAAGCCTGAATGTGGAGGCCTGTAGGAAGCCAGAAATGGCAGAGGGTTGCGCAGGTATGTGTTTGACCTTGGCTGGAACTCAGGCGTCTGTTCCACAATCAGTTCTTGTAGCCACCATCTGCTGACAGTGTTTTCTTTCTGTAGGACCCCAGGGGCAGTGTGGAGAAGATTTGTCAATTTCTTGGTAAAAAGTTGACGCCAGGAGAAATTGATTTAGTCATTCAACACAGTTCTTTCTCAGCCATGAAAGAGAACAAAATGTCTGACCATTTTGCCATGGACAGTCGTCTGCAGAAAGCAATCATTTCGCCAATGCTGAGAAAGGGTAAGAGGAGGTGGCTGGAGGGGCAGTGCTGCATCCTAGGCATAATCGTCTTTTAAAAAACATTTATTTATTTATTTACTTTTTTTTTTTTTTTTTTTTTTTTTTGAGATGGAGTTTCGCCCTTGTTACCCAGGCTGGAGTGCAATGGCGCGATCTCGGCTCACCGCAACCTCCGCCTCCTGGGCTCAGGCAATTCTCCTGCCTCAGCCTCCTGAGTAGCTGGGATTACAGGCACGTGCCACCATGCCCAGCTAATTTTTTGCACTTTTAGTAGAGACGGGGTTTCACCATGTTGACCAGGATGGTCTCGATCTCTCGACCTCGTGATCCACCCGCCTCGGCCTCCCAAAGTGCTGGGATTACAGGCTTGAGCCACCGCGCCCGGCTATTTATTTACTTATTATGCTTGAAGTTCCGGGGCGCATGTGCAGATTGTGCAGGTTTGTTACATAGGCACACACGTCATCTACATTAGGTATTTCTCCTAATGCTATCCCTCCCCAATCCCCCCACCCGTTGCCAGTCCTCCCCTAGCCCCCCACCCCCCAGGCCCCAGTGTGTAGTGTTCCCCTCCCTGTATCCGTGTCTTCTCATTGTTCAACACCCACCTATGAGTGAGAACATGTGGTGTTTGGTTTTCTGTTCTGTGTCAGTTTGCTGAGAATGATGGTTTCCAGTTTCATCCATGTCGCTGCAAAGGACATGAACTCATCTTTTTTATGGCTGCATAGTATTCCATGGTGTATATGTGCCATCATTCTGTTATAAAGACGCATGCACATGTATGTTTATTTCTGCACTGTTCATGATAGGAAAGACTTGGAACCAACCCAAATGCCCATCAATGATACAATGGACAAAGGAAATGTGGCACATATATCGTCTTTTTTTTTTTTTGAGACGGAGTTTTGCTCTTGTTACCCAGGCTGGAGTGCAGTGGCGCGATCTCGGCTCTCCGCAACCTCCGCCTCCTGGGTTCAAGCAATTCTCCTGCCTCAGCCTCCTGAGTAGCTGGGATTACAGGCATGCACCACCATGCCCAGCTAAGTTTTTGTATTTTTAGTAGAGACGGGGTTTCACCATGTTGACCAGGATGGTCTAGATCTCTCGACCTTGTGATCCGCCCGCCTCGGCCTCCCAAAGTGCTGAGATTACAAGCTTGAGCCACCGCGCCCGGCCCATATATCGTCTTTTAACATTCATATATAGCACAAGACATGGAAACAGATGTGTTTGAGTCTTGACTATCCCATGCTCCATTTTTGAGGAGATTGGTTATTTATCGAATAAATATTAAAATAGACCTGAAAATACTAGAGGAAGAAAGGGTTGGAAGATACGTTGCTCATCTTGTCTTCCTCTGAACAGTGATTGCTTCTGTCAGGATAATAGACAACCTGGAATCAGTGCCCCCTGGCAGATCTTTGTTTGTTAGATGCTCTAGGTGATCTTTACTGCTTTAACTTTTCATTTTGAAGGAATTGTAGATTCCCAGGAAGTTGCAAAAATAGTACAAAGAGGTCCTGTGTGTCCTTCACCCGGTGTCCCCCAGTGGCAGTGTTTTCATAATGATAGTACTGCATGAAAACCAGGAGGCTGGGCGCGGTGGCTCAAGCCTGTAATCCCAGCACTTTGGGAGGCCGAGGCGGGTGGATCACAAGGTCAAGAGATCGACACCATCCTGGTCAACATGGTGAAACCCTCGTCTCTACTAAAAATACAAAAAATTAGCTGGGCATGGTGGTGCGTGCCTGTAATCCCAGCTACTTAGGAGGCTGAGGCAGGAGAATTGCCTGAACCCAGGACGCAGAGGTTGCGGTGAGCCGAGATCGTGCCATTGCACTCCAGCCTGGGTAACAAGAGTGAAACTCCATCTCAAAAAAAAAAAAAAAGTCATGTCCAAGTTTTGGTTTGGACATGCATTTTTATTACTCTGGGATAAATGGCCAGGGGTACAATTGATGTGCAATATAATAAGCAAATGGTTAGTTCTAAAATAAGTTGCTGTTTTTTGGAGTGGCTGTACACTTGTACCAATGACATACAATGAATGGTCTTTAGAGGTATCATTCACTCAACAAAAATATAAGGTGTTGGCTGGGCATGGTGGCTCACACCTGTACTCCCAGCCCTTTGGGAGGCCAAGGCATGTGGATCATGAGGTCAGGAGTTCGAGACCAGCCTGGCTAACGTGGTGAAACCTGTTCTCTACTAAAAATACAAAAAAAGAATTAGCTGGGTATGGTGACAGATGCCTGTAATCTCAACTACTCGGGAGGCTGAGGCAGGAGAATCACTTGAACCCGGGAGTTGGAGGTTGCAGTGAGCCGAGATCGCACCACTGTACTCCAGCCTGGGTAACAGCATGACTCTGTCTCTGAAGAGAAAAGAAATAAAAAATTTAAAACTATAAGATGTCTAGCTTCACCAATTCGAGGCAGCAGATACTTGGTTATGCAGAATGCAAACTGTGATCACTTTCACCATATATATATATATATATATATTTTTTTTTTTTTTTTTTTTTTTTGAGACGGAGTTTCACTCTTGTTACACAGGCTGGAGTGCAATGGCATGATCTCGGCTCACCGCAACCTCCGCCTCCTGGGTTCAGGCAATTCTCCTGCCTCAGCCTCCTGAGTAGCTGGGATTACAGGCACGCGCCACCATGCCCAGCTAATGTTTTGTATTTTTAGTAGAGATGGGGTTTCACCATGTTGACCAGGATGGTCTCGATCTTTTGACCTCGTGATCCACCCGCCTTGGCCTCCCAAAGTGCTGGGATTACAGGCGTGAGCCACCGCGCCCGGCCACAAGTATATATTATTTTGCGACAGGGTCTCACTCTGTTGCCCAGGCTAGAGTGCAGTGGTACAGTCATAGCTCACTGCAGCTTTAAACTCCCAAGCTCAAGCGTTTCTCTAGCCTCAGCCTTTCAGGTAGCTGGGACCACAGGTGTGCACCACCATACCTAGATATTTTTTTTTCTTGTAGAGACAGGGTTTTGCTATGTTTTCCAGGCTGGTGTGGAGCTCCTGGGCTCAAGCAATCCTTCTGCCTCAGTCTCCCAAAGGAAAGATGAGTGATTGCTGGGGACTGAGGTCAGGTTGGGTAGAATTGCTGAGATTACAGGTGTGAGTCACTGCACTGGGCCACGCTTTTTTTTTTTTTTTTTTTTTTGAGAAGGAGTTTCGCTCTTGTTACCCAGGCTGGAGTGCAATGGCACAATCTTGGCTCACTGCAACCTCTGTCTTCTGGGTTCAAGCAATTCTACTGCCTCAGCCTCCCGAGCACCTGGGATTACAGGTGACCACCATCACACCTGGCCTGGCCTAGAAATCATTTTTCTTTTTTTTCTTCCTGAGACGGAGTTTCGCTCTTGTTACCCAGGCTGGAGTGCAATGGCGCGATCTCGGCTCACCGCAACCTCCGCCTCCTGGGTTCAGGCAATTCTGCTGCCTCAGCCTCCTGAGTAGCTGGGATTACAGGCACGTGCCACCATGCCCAGCTAATTTTTTGTATTTTTAGTAGAGACGGGGTTTCACCATGTTAACCAGGTTGGTCTCGATCTCTTGACCTCGTGATCCACCCGCCTTGGCCTCCCAAAGTGCTGGGATTACAGGCGTGAGCCACCGCGCCTAGCCCGGGCCATGCTTTTGATGGGTTCTTTCATTCAGGCTATAATCTAAAGCAGATGATGTAGCCATTTCTATGCTTTTCCTTATGCCTGCCTTGATCTCATTTTGCCTCTCTAGGCCTGGCTGCTTTCATACCGAAGCTTCCCTCCATCAAGTCCTTTCTTCTTTCCTAGATTATGCCAGCTGCAGACAGGTTTGTGGAGTAGTAACTGCATTTGGGGAGTTCTGGGACTATTTCCAGAAAATACAAAATGATTTGCTGCCTACCCAAAAAACTCAAACCTATAAATAGGTTGCTTCAGATGGGGGAAGCAGAGCTTTTAATTCTCTCATCACAGTAATCTGTAGAATGAAACATAAATGCCTGATTTCTCACTTGCTGAATATAAATCTTAGGAAATACTGAAAATTAACTTTAAAAAGGTCAGGAGGGCTCGGCTCAGTGGCTCACGCCTGTAATCCCAGCGCTTTGGGAGGCTGAGGCAGGTGGATCACGAGGTCAAGAGATCGAGACCAACCTGGTCAACATGGTGAAACCCCGTCTCTACTAAAAATACAAAAAATTAGCTGGGCATGGTGGTGCGTGCCTGAAATCCCAGCTACTCAGGAGGCTGAGGCAGGAGAATTGCCTGAACCCAGGAGGCAGAGATTGTGGTGAGCCGAGATCGCGCCATTGCACTCCAGCCTGGGTAACAGGATCGAAACTCGGTGTCTCAAAAAAAAAGGTCAGGAGTGGCCTTGCACTCATTTGACCAAAAAAGGACTCTTGTAGCAAAAGGAAGTCTCTCATAAACAATTTCTTGGATATAAAATTAAGGTTAGGGGGTTGGAGGTACGATGAGACTAAGATATTTTCACAAAGAAACGTTTTCAAAAGTCATAACAGTCAGGGGTGGTGGCTCGTGTCTGTAATCCCAGCACTTTGGGAGGCTAAGGGGGGTGGATCACCTGAGGTCAGAAGTTTGAGACCAGCCGACTAACATGGTGAAACACTGTCTCTACTAAAAATATGAAATTAGCCGTGCATGGTGGCGCATACCTATAATCCCAGCTACTTGGGAGGCTGAGGCAGGAGAATTGCTTGAACCTGGGAGGCGGAGGTTGTGGTGAGCTGAGATCACACCATTGCACTCCAGTCTGGGCAACAAGAACAAAACTCCGTATCAAAAAAAAAAAAAAGAAAACCCAGTAACAACACTTGTTCAGTTTCAGAATGGGCCTCCTGCCGAGATAGATGTTGTACTCCACCACAGTGATTTTTTTTTTTTTTTTTTTTTTTTTTTTTTTTTTTTTTTTGTGAGACGGAGTTTCGCTCTTGTTACCCAGGCTGGAGTGCAATGGCGCGATCTCGGCTGACCGCAACCTCCGCCTCCTGGGTTCAGGCAATTCTCCTGCCTCAGCCTCCTGAGTAGCTGGGATTACAGGCACGCGCCACTGTGCCCAGCTGATTTTTTTGTATTTTTAGTAGAGACGGGGTTTCACCATGTTGACCAGGATGGTTTTGATTTCTTGACCTCGTGATCCACCCGCCTCGGCCTCCCAAAGTGCTGGGATTACAGGCTTGAGCCACCGCGTCCGGTCCCACAGTGATATTTTAAAGCAGAAATAATTTGTTCTGGTTATTGAATGTGGCATCTACTGGGGTCAGTGCCTTAACGAGTCTGTCTTTTCATACGGGCCCCACACGAATTCCTACGTTGTTGAGAATCTGTACAGAGCAATGGTTAAGCCCAATAGATAAAGCATCAGGGAAGTCTGTGTTACCCAGGCGCTGCCTTTTACTGTGTGACCTTCTACAGCAGGCATCCCCAAACTTTTTACACAGGGGGCCAGTTCACTGTCCCTCAGACCGTTGGAGGGCCGCCACATACTGTGCTTCTCTCACTGACCACCAATGAAAGAGGGGCCCCTTCCTGAAGTGCGGCGGGGAGGGGGGGCAGATAAATGGCCTCAGGGGGGCCGCATACAGCCTGCAGGCCTTAATTTGGGGACGCCTGATCTACAGGTTCACAAGAAACTGTGAGTAAAATAGTCACAGTAATAAGAGTTCCCACCTCAGAGGGTTTTGTGGATTAAAAGAGATAACCCTGGCCGGGTACGGTGGCTCACGCCTGTAATCCCAGCCCTTTGGGAGGCTGAGGCGAGTGGATCACCTGAGGTCAGGAGTTTGAGATCAGCCCAGCCAACGTGGTGAAACCCTGTCTCTACTAAAAATACAAACGTTTGCTGGGCATGGTTGTGCACTCCTGTAATCCTGTGTACTCAGGAGACTGAGGCAGGAGAATCACTGGAACCCTGGAGGTGGAAGTTGCAGTGAGCTCAGATCATGCCACTGCACTCCAGCCTGGGTGACAAGAGTGAAACTCCATCTCAAAAAATTAAAATACAAAAATTAAAAGAGGTAACTGATGCAAATCATGGTAGCTAATGTTGTGTTATTCATGTAATAGAAGCAATGCTAACAACTTAGACTACTCAGTAATGAAAAGGCCGATCTATTGATACATGCAGCCGCTCGGACGGATCCCAAGGGTATGATGCTGTGAACAAATTCAATGCCCAAAGGCACATAATATATAATTCCATTTACGTAGCATCCTCACAGTGACCCATGTATAGAGGTGGAGGGAAGATCGGTCTGTGATTGCTGGAGACTGAGGTCCGGTGGGGTAGAATGAGTAAGACTGGAGAATAGTAGCATGAGGAAACTCTGGGGATGGAATATTTTTGTTTCTCGGTTGCTGTGAGTTACACAAGTATGCACGTGGGATACAGTGGCAGGGTACACACGCATTTTACCGATGTCAATTTCCTGGCCACGATATTGTACTGTTGTCACATAAAATGTAACCTTTGGAGGAAATCTGGGTAAAGGGTGCATGAGCCGGGCACGGTGGCTCAAGCCTGTAATCCCAGCACTTTGGGAGGCTGAGGCGGGTGGATCACGAGGTCAAGAGATCGAGACCATCCTGGTCAACATGGTGAAACCCCGTCTCTACTAAAGGTGCAAAAAATTAGCTGGGCGTGGTGGCGCATGCCTGTAATCCCAGCTACTCAGGAGGCTGAGGCAGAAGAATTGCCTGAACCCAGGGGGCGGAGGTTGCGGTGAGCCGAGATCGCGCCATTGCACTCCAGCCTGGGTAACAAGAGCGAAACTCCGTCTCAAAAAAAAAAAAAAAAAAAAAGAAAAAGGTGCATGAAACCTCTCTATCCTAATTTCGCAACTCCCTATGCATCTATATCTCAGAATTCAAAGTGTACAAACCTTTATGATCCGTTATATTATTATTATTAATTTTTGAGACAGGGTCTCACTCTGTCTCCCAGGCTGGAGTGCAGTGGTGCAATCACAGCTCACTGTAGTCTCAGTGTCCTGGGCTCAATTGATCCTCCCACCTCGGCCTCCTCGGTAGCTGGGATTACAGGCGTGCACCACACGCCTGGCTAATTTTTGTATTTTTTGTAGAGATGGGGTTTCACCGTGTCACATAGGCTGGTCTTGAACTCCTGGGCTCAAGTGATCCACCCACCTCAGCTTCCCAAAGTGTCCACTGTATTATTTAAAATCCACTGAAATTCTCTTAAATGGTTACCATTGTTTTTTTCAAACAGGGAGACTGAACCTCAGAGAGATTATGTAACTTTCTCTGTTTCTCCAAGCTAGTATGTGGCAGAAGCAGGATTTCAAACCTAATCTCTCTGATGCTATAAAGACTCAAAAGCGCGGCCCTCCATCCTGTGTCCCTTTTGCGCTCAGGGGCCTCTGGCAGTGCCTAAGAAGTGTGGAAAATTGCAGAAGTGCAAAGACAGGGGCCTCTGGCAGTGCCTAAGAAGCCCGAAAATTGCAGGGTGCCTCATGTTACTCCTCAGGGAGAATGTAGGCCAGGTGGACGAACCCACTGGGAAGCAGTCAGTGACCGTCTTGGTTTCACGTCCGGGGCTCTTCCTCGTGTTCTGATGTTTCCCTTTCCACGTCTGCTTGGCAGGAGTTTGTGGGGACTGGAAAAACCACTTCACTGTGGCCCAGAGTGAAGACTTTGACAAGTTCTTTCAAGAGAAGATGTCAAGTTTGGATCCAGGACTCTTCCCCTGGTTCTGAGCCTGCAACGCTCTTAAGGTTTCTGAGTGTTCTCTACTTTTTTTTCCCATTCTGCCTGGTGGTTCGCAAAATAAACACAGAGCCGAAAGTCACCTTCTTTCAATGGTTGAATCTCACCTGATGTAGAGTCTAGGATCGCCCTCTCTACTTATTCCTCATCACTAATTGTAAGAATGTATACATAATCAGTAACAATATCATTGGAGGTGTCTGTTTCTTTTAAACAACGACAGCAATAGTAATGCATTCTGTAAGGTTGAAGGGAATTGTATAAGAGAGCCCCGTGCCAACCTAAGCTTGAAATATGGAAAGAGGCCTGGCGCGGTGGCTCACGCCTATAATCCCAGCACTTTGGGAGGCTGAGATGGGTGAATCACGAGGTCAGGAGATCGAGATCATCCTGGTCAACATGGTGAAACCTCGTCTCTACTAAAAATACAAAAATTAGCTGGGCGTGGTGGCGCGTGCCTGTAATCCCAGCTACTCAGGAGGCTGAGGCAGGAGAATTGCTTGAATCCAGGAGGCGGAGGTTGCGGTGAGCCGAGATCGCGCCATTGCACTCCAGCCTGGGTAACAAGAGTGAAGCTCTGTCTCAAAAAAAAAAAAAAAAAAAGAAACATGGAAAGAGCAGTTAGAAAGATAGTGATTGAATGAATACAATTATGACTGATAAAGCCAATACTGGGAAACATTAATTACTACTAACATTAATTATTAATGTTATTTTGACCTGTCCAAAAAACACCACTTGGTCTGTCCCACAGACCAAGTTATTCTATACGTGAGGTGTTAGGGGAGCAGATACTTGCCCAACTGAGTAAAATAGATCCTGGTCCCAAGTCATTCTTCAAATAAACAAAAGGATGATAAAAATTATTATTTGAAAATTTAAGCATATAGATACGTATCAATATTAATTATTTTAATCCATGGACATAGAATATTTATTTGTGTCAATTTTTTCATATTTGTCTTACAGTTTTCAGTGATCTTTTTACCTCCTTGATTAAATCTATTCCTAAGAATTTTATTCTTTTTGATGCTATTGTAAATGGGAACATGGTCTTCATTTCTTTTTCAGAAAGTTTGTTGTTAGTGTATAGAAATGCAAGTTCTTTTTGTTTGTTGATTAAAATAGCCATACTACCTAAAGTGATCTACAGATTCAATGTGATCCATATCAGAATCCCAATGGCGTTTTTCACAGAAATGGAAAAACAATTCTAAAATTCCTGTGGAACACAAAAGACCCCACATAGCCAAAGTGATTTTGAGAAAGAAAAAAAATCTGGAGACATCACACTACCTATCAAACTATATTACAAAGATATAGTAATCAAAATAGTATGGTACTGGCATAAAACAGACACAGTAGACCAATGGAACAGAATAAAGAGCCCAGAAATAAACGGATGCTTCTTTGGTCAACTAATCTTTGAGAAAAGTATCAAAAATACACAATGTGGGCTGGGTGCAATAGCTCATGCCTGTAGTCCCAGCACTTTGGGAGGCTGAGGTAGGCGAACCACTTGAGCTGAGATCATGCCACAGCACTCTAGCCTGGGTGATAAAGCAAGACTCAGTCTCAAACAACCCACAATGGGATATCATCTCACACCAATCGGAGTAGCTATTATTAAAAAGTAAAAAAATAAGCCGGGCGCGGTGGCTCAAGCCTGTAATCCCAGCACTTTGGGAGGCTGAGGCGGGCGGATCACGAGGTCGAGAGATCGAGACCATCCTGGTCAACACAGTGAAACCCCGTCTCTACTAAAAATACAAAACATTAGCTGGGCATGGTGGCGTGTGCCTGTAATCCCAGCTACTCAGGAGGCTGAGGCAGGAGAATTGCCTGAACCCAGGAGGCGGAGGTTGCGGTGAGCCGAGATCGTGCCATTGCACTCCAGCCTGGGTAACAAGAGCGAAACTCCATCTCAAAAAAAAAAAAAAAAAAAAAGGTGAAAAAATAGCCTGGGCGCAGTGGCTTACTCCTGTAATCCCAGCACTTTGGGAGGCTGAGGCGGGTGGATCACAAGGTCAAGAGTTCAAGACCAGCCTGGCCAACATGGTGAAACCCCATCTGTACTAAAAATACAAGAAATTAGCTGTAATCCCAGTTACTCAGGAGGCTGAGGCAGGAGAATTGCTTGAACTTGGGAGACAGAGGTTACAGTCAGCTGCGACCGAACCACTGCACCCCAGCTTGGGCAACAGAGAGAGACTCCATCTCAAAAACAAAACAAAACAAAAAGTAAAAAAATAGCAGATGCCAGCCAGGTTGCAGAGAAAAAGAAACGCTTCTACACTGCTGGTGGGAATGTAAGTTAGTTCAGCTACTGTGGAAGGCAGTTTGGAGATTTCCCAGAGAGCTTAAAACAGAACTACCATTCGACCCAGCAATCCCATCACTGGGTATATACCCAGAGGAAAATGTTCTGTTATAAAGACATATGCACAGCCGGGTGTGGTGGCTCACACCTGTAATCCAAGCACTTTGGAGGCCAAGGCGGGCGGATCACCTGAGGTCAGGAGTTCAAGACCAGCCTGATCAACATGGTAAAACCCCGTCTTTATTTAAAAAAAAAAAAAAAAATTAAAAAAAGAAAAGACATATGCATGCAAATGTGCGTCACAACACCATCCACGATATCCAAGATGTGGAATCAACCTAGATGGCCACTAATGGTGGACTGGATAAAGAAATGTGGTCCATATACAGCATCCAATACTACACAGTCAAGGCCGGGTGCGGTGGCTCAAGCCTGTAATCCCAGCACTTTGGGAGGCCGAGGCGGGTGGATTACAAGGTCAAGAGATCGAGACCATCCTGGTCAACATGGTGAAACCCCGTCTCTACTAAAAATACAAAAAATTAGCTGGGCATGGTGGCGCGTACCTGTAATCCCAGCTACTCGGGAGGCTGAGGCAGGAGAATTGCCTGAACCCAGGAGGCGGAGGTTGCGGTGAGCCGAGATCACACCATTGCACTCCAGCCTGGGTAACAAGAGCGACACTCCGTCTCAAAAAAAAAAAGAAAAAAAGAAGAAGTGAGAGCTAAAAATTGAGGCCACGTGGACACGAAGAAGGGAACAAGGTACACTGGGGACTACTTGTGGGTGGAGTGTTGGGAGGAGGGTGAGGATCCAAAAACTACCTATCAGGTGCTATGCTCGTGACCTGGGTGATGAAATCATCTGTACCCCAAACCCTTGAGCCATGCAGGTTACCATGTCACAAACCTGCCCATGTACTTGATGAACCTAAAATAAAAGTCGGAAAGGAAAAGAAAGAACTTAATAAAAGGGAAGGCGCGCCGGGCGCGGTGGCTCAAGCCTGTAATCCCAGCACTTTGGGAGGCCGAGGCGGGTGGATCACGAGGTCGAGAGATCGAGACCATCCTGGTCAACATGGTGAAACCCCGTCTCTACTAAAAATACAAAAAATTAGCTGGGCATGGTGGTGCGTGCCTGTAATCCCAGCTACTCAGGAGGCTGAGGCAGGAGAATTGCTTGAACCCAGGAGGCGGAGGTTGTGGTGAGCCGAGATCGCACCATTGCACTACAGCAGCCTGGGTAACAAGAGCGAGACTCTGTCTCAAAAAAAATAAAAAAATAAAAAAAATAAAAAAAAAATAAAAAAAGGGAAGGCGGGTGCGGTGGCTCACGCCTGTAATCCCAGCACTGTGGGACGCCGGGGTGGGCGGATCACAAGGTCAAGAGTTTGAGACCAAGGCCGGGCGCGGTGGCTCAAGCCTGTAATCCCAGCACTTTGGGAGGCCGAGGCGGGTGGATCATGAGGTCAAGAGATCGAGACCATCCTGGTCAACATGGTGAAACCTCGTCTCTACTAAAAATACAAAAAATTAGCTGGGCATGGTGGCGCATGCCTGTAATTCCAGCTACTCAGGAGGCTGAAGCAGGAGAATTGCCTGAACCCAGGAGGCGGAGGTTGCGGTGAGCCGAGATCGCGCCATTGCACTCCAGCCTGGGTAACAAGAGCGAAACTCTGTCTCAAAAAAAAAAAAAAAAAGAGTTTGAGACCAGTCTGGCCAACATAGTGAAACTCCATCTCTACTAAAAAAAAAAAAAAAAAAAAAAAAATTAGGCAGGTGAGGCAGCCGGCCGGTGCCTGTAATCCCTGCTACTTGGCAGGCTAAGGCAGGGGAATTGCTTCAACGTGGGAGGCAGAGGTGGTAGTGAACCAAGATCGTGTCCCTGCACTCCAGCCTAGGTGACGGTGCAAGACTCTGCCTCAAAAAATAAAAAAAAAAATAAATAAAAATTCAGGTTTCTCCAGACAGGCCAGACAGTTAGGACCTCTTGCTTCTCACAAATGTTCAGCTGTGGCTGCTGTCTGGGGGGGAAAGGGCCTCTTCATGGAGATTCCATGAGATGAATGAACTGGGGTTCTTTTACCTTTAGGGATTGTGTACCTACTAAGTGATATCCCCTTTACCAGGCGGTACGGGTACAGACATGAAGGGTCATGGCTGCTAACTTCTGAATTTCACATGCTAGCTGGAATGAAGAATATCGTTCATTATTTGACTTTGAGTTGAGGTGGTGAAAGGGTTGAGACTCAGGCTGTCCAATATGGTGGCCACCAACGGCATGTGACTAGCAATCCGCTGAAATGGAGCTCATTCGAACTGAGATGCACTGTAAGTATAAAATACACACCAGATTGTGAAGATGTTACATGAAAAGAGTTCTCATTAATAGCTGTTTAAGACTGGTTACATGTTAAAATGACAAATCTTTGGATGTTAAAATTAATTCAATATGGCTGGGGGTGGTGGCTCACGCCTGTAATCCAAGCACTTTGGAGGCCAAGGTGGGCAGATCACCTGAGGTCGGGAGTTCAAGACCAGCCTGACCAACAGGGTGAAACCCTGTCTTAAAAAAGAAAAAGAAAAAGAAAAAGAAATTAATTCAACATGTTTCTTTCCACTTTCTTTCTTTTTTTTTTTTTTTTTGAGACGGAGTTTCGCTCTTGTTACCCGGGCTGGAGTGCAAGGGCGCGATCTCGGCTCACCGCAACCTCCGCCTCCTGGGTTCAGGCGATTCTCCTGCCTCAGCCTCCTGAGTAGCTGGGATTACAGGTACGCGCCACCACGCCCAGCTAATTTTTTGTATTTTTGGTAGAGACGGGGTTTCACCATGTTGACCAGGATGGTCTCGATCTCTTAACCTCGTGATCCACCCGCCTTGGCCTCCCAAAGTGCTGGGATTACAGGCTTGAGCCACCATGCCTGGCCTCTTTCCACTTTCTTTAGTGTATCTACTAAAAAATTTATCATGGCTGGGCGCGGTGGCTCAAGCCTGTAATCCCAGCACTTTGGGAGGCCGAGGTGGGTGGATCACGAGGTCAAGAGATCGAGACCATCCCGGTCAACATGGTGAAACCCCGTCTCCACTAAAAATACGAAACATTAGCTGGGCATGGTGGCACGTGCCTGTAATCCCAGCTACTCAGGAGGCTGAGGCAGGAGAATCGCCTGAACCCAGGAGGCGGAGGTTGCGGTGAGCCGAGATCGCACCATTGCACTCCAGCCTGGGTAACAAGAGCGAAACTCCGTCTCAAAAAAAAAAAAAAAAAAAGAAAATTTATCATTACATATATGGGTTACAGTATATAGCTTTCTTTTTTCTTTTTTTCTTTTGTAGACACAGGGTTTCACCATATTGGCTAGGCTGGTCTCAAACTCCTGACCTGGTTAATTCTCCCGCTTTGGCCTCCCAAAGAAGTGCTGGGATTACAGGCGTCAGCCATGGCAGCCATTCTGTTTTGTTTTGTTTTGTTTTTTATTTCCCAGGCTGGAGTTGCTCAGGCTGGAGTTGCTCAGGCCGGAGTGCAGTGGTACAATCTTGGCTCACCGAAACCTCCGCCTCCCAGGTTCAAGGGATTCTCCTGCCTCAGCCTCCCGAATAGCTGGGATTACAGGCATACACCACCACACCCTGCTAATTTTGTATTTTTAGTAGAGATGGGGTATCTCCATGTTGGTCAGTCTGGTCCTGAACTCTTGACCTCAGGTGATCCACCCACCTTGGCCTCCCAAAATGCTGGGATTACAGGTGTGAGATACCACACCCAGCCACCAATAGACTTCTTAATAGGCATGGGCTAACTAATATAATTTCCAGGGTGGAAATTCAGTTTCAGCCAGAATGAAATAAGGCATAATGCAATTCATTAAAGAACTAATATACATCTGCAAGAGAAAGAGGTAACTGCAGAATTTCCTGAAATTAGAAGAACAATTTCACCATCATTATAATTGGTATGATTATGTCTGACATGATTAATTTCATCAATCTAATAATGAAAGGTGAACTTTTAACAAAAACAAAGACATCCTGGGCATGTATATAAAAAGGAAAATGGAATGCTGAGTGAAATCCTCTTCAAGTTGATACTACTGAGCTTTGGGCATGGTCGGAGGGTCAGGTTAGAAATTAGTTGGTTTCCTTTGGGACCCGGAGATGCAACACTCATGCAGGGACAGGTGTGAGCGTTTCACACTGGCGAAGTGAGACGCAGAAACAAAACTCTTCATTCACAGGAGATTCTTGAGGTGCTGAAATTCTTGTGATTCAGCAACAGAATTCTTACCTCTATGCCAGGAGACAAAGTGAGGCAGTGACTTCCCCCAAACGACAGCTGATTCTCAACAATTTAAAAATATTAGCAATTGAAAGCCAAAGGTAGATCCAAAAATTTCCTGGAAGGATACGGAAGGAGAAAAAATACGAAACCAACACATGAACACTCGCATTTATCCTAGGCAAGGGCTGCTTGGGTGAACCTACCGAAAGCAGAATCGAACACTTTCGGGTACCTTTTGCAAGCACAGCCGTACGGTAATACCAAAGTGAAAATATTTTTTTTTTTTTTTTTTTTTTTTTTTTGAGACGGAGTTTCGCCCTTGTTACCCAGGCTGGAGTGCAATGGCGCAATCTCGGCTCACCGCAACCTCCGCCTCCTGGGCTCAGGCAATTCTCCTGCCTCAGCCTCCTGAGTAGCTGGGATTACAGGCACGTGCCACCATGCCCAGCAAATTTTTTGCACTTTTAGTAGAGACGGGGTTTCACCATGTTGACCAGGATGGTCTCGATCTCTCGACCTTGTGATCCACCCGCCTCGGCCTCCCAAAGTGCTGGGATTACAGGCTTGAGCCACCGCGCCCAGCAAAGTGAAAATATTTCTTATTCATTGCTTCAAAATAGCTACAAGACACACTTAAAACAATTTCCCATGAGCAAGAGTAAGCGACACTATGAGAATGCATGCCCCGATACTCAACACTCTAAAAGGTGCTATGCAATAACTTTAATATTATTAAAATAGTGTGCATGTTTGGGAGGCCAAGGCGGGTGGATCACAAGGTCAAGAGATCGAGACCATCCTGGTCAACATGGTGATACCCCGTCTCTACTAAAAACACAAAAAATCAGCTGGGCATGGTGGCGCGTGCCTGTAATCCCAGCTACTCAGGAGGCTGAGGCAGGAGAATTGCCTGAACCCAGGAGGCGGAGGTTGCGGTGAGCCGAGATCGCGCCATTGCACTCCAGCCTGGGTAACAAGAGAACAAGAGCAAAACTCCGTCTCAAAAAAAAACAAACAAAAAAAAGCTACAGAAGGTGATCAAGGCAGCTTGTGGATGTCCTGTATCAAGTGGGTGGCTTCGGAAAACCGACCTGGGAAGACAGGCCGTGCAATATACATGTTGAAGTAACTGGTATCAACAGATAAAATAAAACTGAACCACTACATCGCACTATGAAGGTTTATTAAGTGAGTTAAAAATTTACCTGTGAAAAAGAGATATTAGTGTGTGAAAGCAAATACAGGGAAATAGTTGACTTTCAGGTTAGGAAGTATTTATATCACTCATAAATGATAAGACTAACAAAAATAGACATTAATACATTTTAAAACAACTCTAACCCTAAAATACCATGAGCAATAAATAGAAAAGCCCAAATTTTGGAAAGATTTGTGATTTTGTATTAAAATATGTCAAGTCAAGTAAATCTTTAAGGAAAACAACAGGCAATTCACGAAAGGGAAATCAAGTGACAGCCCAGCCCTACTTCCCCCACCCCCATCATCACACCCTCATAATCATCACCACCGTCATGACATCATCACTATCATCATAAATATCATCATCATCATCATCTTCTTCATTTTACACACAGGCGGGGGGGGGGGGGGGCGGGAAAGTGAAGTTCAGCCACACCCATAGTCTAGAAAAGAGGTTGCTGTAGCCTCCTGTAACCTTCTACACCAGGTCCTGTGACAGCTACCAGAAAAGCTAAAGAAAGGGAAATCAAGGCCGGGCGCGGTGGCTCAAGCCTGTCATCCCAGCACGTTGGGAGGCCGAGGCGGGCGGATCACGAGGTCAAAAGATCGAGACCAGCCTGGCCAACATGGTGAAACCCCGTCTCTACTAAAAATACTAAAAATTAGCTGGGCATGGTGGCGTGTGCCTGTAATCCCAGCTACTCGGGAGGCTGAGGCAGGAGAATTGCTTGAACCCGGGAGGCAGAGGTTGCAGTGAGCCGAGATTGTGCCACTGGACTCCAGCTTGGTGCCTGGGGACAGAGTGAGACTCTGTCTCAAAAAAAAAAAAAAAAAAAAGGCCGGGCGCGGTGGCTCACGCCTGTAATCCCAGCACTTTGGGAGGCCGAGGCGGGTGGATCACGAGGTCAAGAGATCGAGACCATCCTGGTCAACACGGTGAAACCCCGTCTCTACTAAAAATACAAAAAATTAGCTGGGCGTGGTGGCACATGCCTGTAATCCCAGCTACTCGGGAGGCTGAGGCAGGAGAATTGCCCGAACCCAGGAGGCAGAGGTTGCGGTGAGCCGAGATCGCGCCATTGCACTCCAGCCTGGGTAACAAGAGCGAAACTCCGTCTCAAAAAAAAAAAAAAAAAAAAAAAAGAAAAGAAAAGAAAAGAAAGGGTAATCAAGACACAGCCCTCTGAGGTATGCACAGTGGCCCAGCTCAGGATGGTTTAAACAGTCGGGTTAGAATTCTGATGGAGAGTATCTGGGTTAAAGAAAGGCCGAGATCCCTGGAGAGAAAAGATTCTTTGAGTCTCTTGGCTCAGTCTCATTAGGCAGAACTGAGTCTCACCTTCCCAGAGATCCAAGGCACTTCCTAAGCCCCACTGGAATCAATGATGCCTGGAGGCCGCAGGTGGGAATGTTCTCAACTGTAGCCTGCACCCTGAGGGCCTCAAGTATGTTTGACAAAGGGAATAATAATGCTGTCTACTTAAGGGGGCTGTTAAGAGAAGGATCTTGCATGAAACGCATTGAGCAGTAGGACTTTGACACATTAGCATTCAAATAATGCTAAAGAGGGTGGAGATAAGAATGGCAGCTGTGGGTGGATGATTCGATGAGAGTCAAGATGGGGCGGCCTTTGCACGGGAGTCAAGGAGGTGGGTAACAGGGCGTTTGGAGGCACCTGGAGATTCTAACGTCTGCCCTTTATAGCATTCACACCTGAGGAGTTAAAAACAAACCTTAACAATTGCCCTCTGGGTCTGGTGCTCATTATCCATGACAGCCAATGAAAAGGGAGAGATTCTGCGGCCAGTCAGAGAGCAGCCCTGGCTTTTTACGCGGGGTGTCCACAGCTGCTCCTTGATGAGTGCCAGCCGGGAGGATCAGGGTCTGGGTTGGGTAAGTGCTCCCTCTGTCCTTTCTTCTTCATTTCTCCAAACTCTCAGTCCTTCCTGGAGGTCAGGAGTGTGTAAAGAACAAGTAAGAGGGCAGCAGAAAGGATCGAGTCCCGACCTTTCGTTTTGGCAAGAATGCACACTAGCGAAAAGCTTTTATTTATTGTTTTGAGATGGAGTCTTGCTCCGTGGCCCAGGCTGGACTGCAATAGTGCGACTTCAGCTCGCTGCAACCTCCGCCTCCCGAGTTCAAGCGATTCTCCTGCCTCAGCCTCCCAAGTAGCTGGGATTACAGGCATGCTCCACCACACCGGGCTCGTTTTTTTTTTTTTTTTTTTCTTTTTTTTTTGAGACGGAGTTTCGCTCTTGTTACCCAGGCTGGAGTGCAATGGCGCGATCTCGGCTCACCGCAACCTCCGCCTCCTGGGTTCAGGCAATTCTCCTGCCTCAGCCTCCTGAGTAGCTGGGATTACAGGCACGCGCCACCATGCCCAGCTAATTTTTTGTATTTTTAGTAGAGACGGGGTTTCACCATGTTGACAAGGATGGTCTCGATCTCTTGACCTCGTGATCCACCCGCCTCGGCCTCCCAAAGTGCTGGGATTACAGGCTTGAGCCACCGCGCCCGGCCCGGGCTCGTTTTTATACTTTTAGTAGCGACGGGGTTTTGCCATTTTGGCTGGTCTCCTGACCTCAGGTGATCTGCCTGCCTCGGCCTCCCAAAGTGCTGGGATTGCAAGTGAGAGCCACCATACCGGGCCTGTAATGAAAACCATTTGCATTTGCAGAAATGTTGTGTACCCAGCGTTTTCACGAGTTAAAACTTTTTTTTTTTTTGAGACGGAGTTTCACTCTTGTAACCCAGGCTGGAGTGCAATGGCGCGATCTCGGCTCACCGCAACCTCCGCCTCCTGGGTTCAAGCAATTCTCCTGCCTCAGCCTCCCTTGTAGCTGGGATTACAGGCACGTGCCACCACGCCCAGCTAGTTTTTTGTATTTTTAGTAGAGACGGGGTTTCACCATGTTGACCGGGATGGTCTCGATCTCTTGACCTCATGATCCACCTGCCTCTGCCTCCCAAAGTGCTGGGATTACACGCTTGAGCCCCCGCGCCCGGCGAGTTAAAACTTTTATGTTTCCCAACTTTAAATTAGGTGAGAGAATGGGACTCTTCCAGAAGCCATTGTCTCGTTGTTGTTTTTTTCCTAAAACTGAATTAGAGATACAAAAAACTGGAGGTCTTGGAGGGCTGAGGAGAAATGATGAAAATACCCAACACTGACCTGGTTTGCTGGGTCTGATTAGGAGATTCATGTCACCTGGGGAGACAAAATAGATAAACAAAAAACCACCAAGTGGAGAGAATTAAGCTTGAAAGCTGCTGATACGCTGACTTAGCTTTCATCAGCCGGTTCTAGGATGTCCTCATTTTATGCTAAATTATATATTCATCACGTTGTCAGTAATGTTTCCTTCGCATGCCTTTAAGAACGGTGTGAGGGTACGGTGAACCAGGGGGTGGGATCCGGGAGGAATGGGGAGATTGTGCCAAGGGACCTTGGATGGCAGCCGCACGACATGGTAACGGGTGGTGGAGCCTAGTGTCGGCCTCGTGAGAGTTAAAGGTGTTGGGAGAAGCGCGAGGCTCTCTCCTACCCCTCAGGTGGACTCCACAGCACCGAGCACGGGGCTGAGGAAACCATCAGCAGGGCGAGGCGGGAGACTCAGTGCCGGCGAGGGACGCTCCCCCTAGGGCGGGAAGGAGAAAGGAATGTTCCCAGAAGAGATTAAGGGCACGTGAGTTCTTTAAAAAAAAAAAAAAAAAAAAAAAAAAAGAAAAAAATCGTGGGCGGGGCGCGGTGGCCCAAGCCTGTAATCCCAGCACTTTGGGAAGCCAGGGCGGGTGGATCACGAGGTCAAGAGATCGAGACCATCCTGGTCAACATGGTGAAACCCCGTCTCTACTAAAAATACAAAATATTAGCTGGGCATGGTGGCGCGTGCCTGTTATCCCAGCTACTCAGGAGGCTGAGGCAGGAGAATTGCCTGAACCCAGGAGGCGGAGGTTGCGGTGAGCCGAGATCGCGTCATTGCACTCCAGCCTGGGTAACAAGAGCGAAACTCCGTCTCAAAAAAAAAAAAAAAAAAAAAAAAAAAAAAATATATATATATATATATATGTATATATAAATAAAAAATTTGTGGTGAAATATACATAAAACTTACCATCTGAACTCTTAAAAAGAGTACAGTTCAGTGGCATGAAGTACATTCACACTGCTGTGCAATCGTCACCATCCAGAGAACCTGTTCGAACTCAGTGCCCATCAAACAGCTCCCCGCTACTGCCGCTCCAGCCCTAGTCTCCCTCTGACTCCACATCATGGTCCCATTGTACCGTAATATTGTGCCATTACTTAACTGCTCTCTTATTTATGAATATTTAGGTTGTTGCCTTCAACAATTATTTAAAACCCTGCAGTGACTATTTGTGCACACAAAACTGTGGTCACATTTGCAAATGCTACTTTGGAATGGATACCAGGAAGTAAAATGGTGGGCTTGAAGAAAATCTTCATTTTCCATTTTAATAGAGGTTGCCACATTTTCATTCAAAGCTACATAGATTTGGCCGGGCGCGGTGGTTCAGGGCCATAATCCCAGCATTTTGGGAGGCTGAGATGGGTGGATCACGAGGTCAAGAGATCGAGACCATCCTGGTCAACATGGTGAAACCTCGTCTCTACTAAAAATACAAAAAAATTAGCTGGGCATGGTGGCGCACGCCTGTTATCCCAGCTACTCAGGAGGCTGAGGCAGGAGAATTGCCTGAACCCGGGAAGCGGAGGTTGCGGTGAGCCGAGATCGCGCCATTGCACTCCAGCCTGGGTAACGAGCGAAACTCTAAAAAAAAAAAAAAAAAAAAAAGCTACATGCATTTATATTTCTACCACCAGTGTTTAACCTCCATTTCCCCATATATTACCATGAAAATTACATATATTCTATATATTTTCTCTCTATATATTCTATATACTATATATTCTCTATATGTATATATGTGTATATTTTTTCTTTTTTTTTTTTTTGAGATAGAATGTTGTTCTTGTCACCGAGGCGGGAGTGCTGTGGCACCATCTTGGCTCACAGCAACCTCTGCTACCCAGGTTCCAGCGATTCTCTTGCCTCAGCCTCTTGAGTAGCTGGGATTACAGGCGCCCACCAAGCCCAGCTAATTTTTTTGTTTTTAGCGGAGACGGGGTTTTGCCATGTTGGGCAGGCTGGTCTTGAACTCCTGACCTCAGGTGATCCACCCACCTCAGCCTTCTAAAGTGCTGGGATTACAGGTGTGAGCCACCGTGCCTGGCCTGTATATTTCAAATCCGGATGGAAAACGAGCTTCTAAGAAATGTTTTGTATATTTACCAGCCATATAAGTTTATTTCATAAAGTTTGTCCATTTCTTTCTCAGTAAGTTAAATTAGCTTCCTGCTTGCCTGTTATAGTAAAATGTACATTTAAAATTTAACAACAGATTCTCATGCTTTTGCCTTTATTTTCTCATTTTTAAAAAATTTGTTTTTATTATTATTATTATTATTTTTTTTTTTGAGGCGGAGTTTCGCTCTTATTACCCAGGCTGGAGTGCAATGGCGCGATCTCGGCTCACCACAACCTCCGCCTCCTGGGTTCAGGCAATTCTGCTGCCTCAGCCTCCTGAGTAGCTGGGATTACAGGCATGTGCCACCACGCCCAGCTAATTTTTTGTATTTTTAGTAGAGACGGGGTTTCACCATGTTGACCAGGATGGTCTCGATCTCTCAACCTCGTGATCCACCCGCCTCGGCCTCCCAAAGTGCTGGGATTACAGGCTTGAGGCACCGCGCCCGGCCTGTTTTTATTATTATTATTATTATTTTTTTTTTGAGACGGAGTTTCGCTCTTGTTACCCAGGCTGGAGTGCAATGGCGCGATCTCGGCTCACCACAACCTCCGCCTCCTGGGTTCAGGCAATTCTCCTGCCTCAGCCTCCTGAGTAGCTGGGATTACAGGCACGCGCCACCATGTCCAGCTAATTTTTTGTATTTTTAGTAGAGGCGGGGTTTCACCATGTTGACCAGGATGGTCTCGATCTCTTGAACTCGTGATCCACCTGCCTCGGCCTCCCAAAGTGCTGGGATTACTGGCGTGAGCCACCGCGCCCGGCTATTTTTATTATTTTTATTATTTTTAAAGATGGGGTTTCACCATGTTGGCCAGGCTGGTCTAGAACTCCTGACCTGGTGATCCACCCTCCTCAGCCTCCCAAAGTGCTGGTATTACAGGCGTGAGCCACCACTCCTGGCCCTGAAAAAATATTTTTATTGTGGGAAAATATGCATAATATAAAACTTACCATCTTAACCGTTTTTAAGTGCGGTTCAGTGGCACTAAATACATTTATATTGTGAAAGCATCGCCTCAGCCATCTCCGTAACTGTGTGTCTTGTGAAACTGAAACTCCGTCCTTATAAAACAGTAACTCGCATTTTCTTCTCTATTCCCTGCCAACCATGATTCTACTTTCTGTCTCTGATTTTGACCACTTTAAGTACCTCACATACACTTAATCAGACAGTATTTGTGATTTTGTGACTAGTTTATTCATTAAGCATAATGTCCTCAGTGTTCACTCTTGCCACAGCATGTCAGAATCTCCTTCCTTGTTCAGGCTCTATAACAAATGCTGTATTTACAGACCACGTTTCGTGTATCCCTTCGTCTGCTGATGAACACGGGTTACTTCCACGTTTCAGCTATTGTGAATAATGCTTCTATTAACATGAGTGTCCAGATACTTCTTGGAGAGAGCCTGCTTTCAATTCTTTTGGGTTGCTATATCTTTTGGTAATTGTTTTTTTTTTTTTTTTTGAGACGGAGTTTCACTCTTGTTACCCAGGCTGGAGTGCAATGGCGTGATCTCGGCTCACCGCAGCCTCCGCCTCCTGGGTTCAGGCAATTCTCCTGCCTCAGCCTCCGGAGTAGCTGGGATTACAGGCATGCGCCACCATGCCCAGCTAATTTTTTGCACCTTTAGTAGAGATGGGGTTTCACCATGTTGACCAGGATGGTCTCGATCTCTTGACCTCGTGATCCACCCGCCTCGGCCTCCTAAAGTGCTGGGATTACAGGCGTGAGCCACCGTGCCCGGCTTGTTTTTTTAATTTTTTTTTTCTTTTCTCCAAAATTTTAAAATTTTTATGAAGTCCAGCTTGTCTGTTTTTTCTTTTTCTTTTTTTCTTTTTTTCTTTTTTTTTTTTTTTTTGAGACGGAGTTTCGCTCTTGTTACCCAGGCTGGAGTGCAATGGCGCGATCTCGGCTCACCGCAACCTCCGCCTCCTGGGTTCAGGCAATTCTCCTGCCTCAGCCTCCCGAGTAGCTGGGATTACAGGCACACGCCACCATGCCCAGCTAATTTTTTATATTTTTTAGTAGAGACGGGGTTTCACCATGTTGACCAGGATGGTCTCGATCTCTTGACCTCGTGATCCACTCACCTTGGCCTCCCAAAGTGCTGGGATTACAGGCTTGAGCCACTGCGCCCGGCTGTTTTTTCTTTTGTCTATGTCATACTCAAGAAATAGCCAAATCTATGTCTGGAAGCTTTTGCCTTACATTTCCTTCTAAGAGTTTTATACTTTCCAGGCTTCCATTTAGCTCTTCAATCCCTTTTGCATTGATTTTTCTTTATGATATTAAGGGTCCAAATTTATTCTTTGGCATGTGACCATAGGTGGTGTGTAATCTTTGCTAATAGTTTGTAGTTATCTGTTTTTTTTTTGTTTGTTTGTTTTTTTTTTTTTTTTGAGACGGAGTTTCACTCTCGTTACCCAGGTTGGAGTGCAATGGCGCGATCTCGGCTCACCGCAACCTCCGCCCTGGGTTCAGGCAATTCTCCTGCCTCAGCCTCCTGAGTAGCTGGGATTACAGGCACGCGCCACCATGCCCAGCTAATTTTTTGTATTTTTAGTAGAGATGGGGTTTCACCATGTTGACCAAGATGGTCTCGATCTCTTGACCTTGTGATTCACCCGCCTCGGCCTCCCAAAGTGCTGGGATTACAAGCTTGAGCCACCGCGCCTGGCCTAGTTTGTAGTTATCTGAAAGGTATATTAGCTCAGATACAGTGATACTGTATTTGTCATTATCTGCTTGTGTGTGAAGTGATATCGCGAGGTACACATATGTCCATGAGTTCTATAACTTGGGGAACTGAATCTTGGTGTTCAAACATTATTAAGTCCATTTAGTGCTTTCTAGCTTGAGTGTTTTTCAATGCTGGTATTTTATATTATTAATACTTTGTCGGGTAAGAATTTGCCAGGCTTTTTCTTTTATTTTACTTTTCTGTGTATTATCTAGGATTCTCTTAAAAACAACATATAGCAGGATTTTTATTTATTCAGTGTGAGTCTATATAATAGTGAGCAATTTTATTTCATTCCTGTGTTAAGATTATATTTGGGCCTGTAATCCCAGCATGTTGGGAGGCCGAGGCAGGGGCAGATCACAAGGTCAAGAGATCGACCATCCTGGCCAACATGGTGAAACCCCATCTCTACTAAAAATATAAAAATTAACTGGGCGTGGTGGCGTGCGCCTGTAGTCCCAGCTACTTGGGAGGCTGAGGCAGGAGAATTGCTTGAACCCGGGAGGCGGAGGCTTCAGTGAGTCAAGATTGTGCCACTGTATTCCAGCCTAGCGCCTGGCGACAGAGTGAAACTCTGTCTCAAAAAAAAAGAGAAAAGAAAAATTTATATTTGGGCTGGGTGCAGTGGCTCATGCTTGTAATCCCAGTACTTTTCGAGGTGATGGATCACCTGAGGTCAGGAGTTCAAGCAGCCTGGCCAACATGGTGAAACCCTGTATCTACTTAAAAAAAAAAAAAAAAGAAAAAAAGGGCCGGGCGCGGTGGCTCTCGCCTGTAATCCCAGCACTTTGGGAGGCTGAGGCAAGTAGATCATGAGTTCAAGAGATCGAGGCCATCCTGGTCAACATGGTGAAACCCCGTCTCTACTAAAAATACAAAAAATTAGCTGGGCATGGTGGCGCGTGCCTGTAATCCCAGCTACTCAGGAGGCTGAGACAGGAGAATTGCCTGAACCCAGGAGGCGGAGGTTGCAGTGAGCCGAGATCGCGCCATTGCACTCCAGCCTGGGTAACAAGAGCGAAAGTCCGTCTCAAAAAAAAAAAAAAGCAGAAAAAAAAGTTAGCCGGGCGTGGTGGCAGACACCTGTAATCCCAGCTACTTTGGAGGCTGAGGCAGGAGAATCACTGGAACCAGGGAGGTAGAGGTTGCACTGAGCTGAGGTCATACCTATTGCACTCCAGTCTGAGCAACAAGAGTGAAACTCTGACATACATGTGCAGATGCATGCACACACACACATAGACATACACAGAGTTATATCTGGTATTATTTTTGCCACCTGTCTTTGTGTAGCATATATTTCTTTTTCTTTTTTCTTTTTTTTTGAGACGGAGTTTCGCTCTTGTTACCCAGGCTGGAGTGCAATGGCGCGATCTTGGCTCACCGCAACCTCCGCCTCCTGGGTTCAGGCAATTCTCCTGCCTCAGCCTCCTGAGTAGCTGGGATTACAGGCACGTGCCACCATGCCCAGCTAATTTTTGTATTTTTAGTAGAGACGGGGTTTCACCATGTTGACCAGGACGGTCTCGATCTCTTGACCTCGTGATCCACCCGCCTCGGCCTCCCAAAGTGCTGGGATTACAGGCTTGAGCCACCGTGCCCGGCTATGTGTAGCATATATTTCTGCTTCATTTCCTGTCTTTTGTTGAACTGTAGTGATTATCTGGAGAGTTTCTAATAGTGGAAAAGTTTACGCTTCTGTTTCTGTCTGTCGTTAGTCTGCAGATACTAACCTATGGTAAATCTAGCTTTTTTTTTTTTTTGAGATGGAGTTTCACTCTTGTTACCCAGGCTGGAGTGCAATGGCGTGATCTTGGCTCACCGCAACCTTCGCGTCCTGGGTTCAGGCAATTCTCCTGCCTCAGCCTCCTGAGTAGCTGGGATTACAGGCACGCACCACCATGCCCAGCTAATTTTTTGTATTTTTAGTAGAGACAGGGTTTCACCATGTTGACCAGGATAGTCTTGATCTCTTGACCTCATGATCCACCTGCCTCGGCCTCCTAAAGTGCTGGGATTACAGGTGTGAGCCACCGTGCCCGGCCAGCTTTTTCTTTATATACTATAATAAGACAAATACCCCAAAACAAAACTAAAAAATCTAAATTTGCTTTCATACCTTCTTCCTTTCTTTATTTTCATCTTGCTGAATGTGATCATCTGCAATTTTAATAAGTTTATTTTTTCTTTATCAAAATTGGATTTGACAAAGTATAGGAAGGTGTATAGAGCAAACCACACTCAGAGGATGCTGGCAGGATTGTAAGTTATTACATGCACAAAGGAAAATCGTTGAGCGGTTTGTAGTAAACATGGTGACCTCTGTGTGCTATTTGACCTATAATTTATAAATCTAGAGAAATGTGTGCTTGTAGGTACCAAACTACACATAAATGCTTGTTCATGGAAGCATCATTTATGTTAGACAAAAACAAGAAAAACACGTAGGTGCCAGTCAGCTCTACCATTCACACGTATTTGTGTGGAGAAAGATGAAGCTTCTTCCCTAGATGATGCTTGATGCAAGATACGTGTGAGGATATCCATAGTTTTGAGCTGCTTTAGGCCGCTGAAACTTAACTCTCCCATCATATTCTTCTCCAGGTATCATTCATTCTTTATTTTTGAGGATCTTTCTTTTCCTTCTGGAGACACCTGAGCCCACAGTCCTGGCACAATATGGCAGAATCTTTTTTTTCGGATTTTGGCTTGTTGTGGTATCTGAAGGAGCTCAGAAAGGAAGAGTTTTGGAAATTTAAGGAGCTCCTCAAACAAGAACCTTTGAAATTTGAACTCAAGCCGATCCCCTGGACTGAGTTGAAAAAGGCTTCAAAAGAAGATGTTGCAAAGCTCCTGGACACACATTACCCAGGAAAACGGGCATGGGAGCTGACGCTGAACCTGTTCCTACAGATCAGTCGGAAGGACCTCTGGACGAAGGCTCAGGAAGAGATGAGTAAGTGCTGGATGGAGGGGCGGGACCCAAGGGGCAGGGTCAGTTCACTGGGACCAGGTGACGTCATTGTTGAATGAGTGGCCACGGCCTCCACCCGGTGAGAACGTGTGTGGGTCAGCATGAGAGTTGCAGGTAGCACGATTTGCAAGGCTGGGCTGTTGATGTTCTAGCCAGTGATGAACTGGGGGCGGATGGCGTCCTGAATCCAAACCGTTCACCTAAGGAGATCTTCCCGCTTTTCCACCCCAGGTGGAGTCATTGCCATTATAGGAGATGACTGGGCAGTTAGCATGTGCATTACCATGTCTACTGAGATGGAATTCTAGTATGGTAGTTGCCTTTTTTTTTCTTTTTTTTGAGACGGAGTTTCGCTCTTGTTACCCAGGCTGGAGTGCAATGGCGCGATCTCGGCTCACCGCAACCTCCGCCTCCTGGGTTCAGGCAATTCTCCTGCCTCAGCCTCCTGAGTAGCTGGGATTACAGGCACGTGCCACCATGCCCAGCTAATTTTTTGTATTTTTAGTAGAGACGGGGTTTCACCGTGTTGACCAGGATGGTCTCAATCTCTTGACCTCGTGATCTACCCACTTTGGCCTCCCACAGTGCTGGGATTACAGGCTTGAGCCACCGTGCCCGGCGATCTTGGCTTACTGTAATCTCCAGCCTCCTAGGTTCAAGCAATTCCTGTGCCTCGGCCTCCTGAGTAGCTGGAACCGTAGGCACGTGCCTCCACACTGGCTAATTTTTGTATTTTTAGTAGAGCTGGGGTTTCAGCATGCGGGCCACGCTGGTTTTGAGCTCCTGGCCTCCCAAAGCATTGGGATGATAGGTGTGAGCCACCGCACCCGGCCAACATTCTTACAAGTTTCTAAATTTTGGCTTCCTAACAGCTATCACTGGAAATACCAGATAAAGGTTGCAATCCTGGTTCTTAATAATCAGGATTAAGAGAGACTGTCATCAAGAGACCCCAAAGCCATTGTCATGTTAGGAGTATACGTGAACTGCCACTGACGGATGAAAGGAATGTCTTTATGTCTGTCCCGGTGTCCAGGGAAGGCAAAGCTGGCTGATAATAGAAGGTAGAGTAGGATTTTGTTTCTAATCGTTGGAGTAACTTTGGGTGTGGGAACAGAAACACTCAAGTCTCAGTTACTGTAACACTGTTGACCACAATGAAGTGACAGAAAGGAAGGTGAAGGCCGTAAAGGCAAGTTGAAAGAAGGGAGGTTCAGGTGGGCAAGGTGGCTCACATCTGTAATTCCGGCACTTTGGGAAGCCAAGGTGGGTGGATCGCTTGAGAGGAGGAGTTTGAAACCACCTTGGGCAATGTAGTGAAATCCCATCTCTACCAAAAAGGAAACCCAAAACCAGAAATTAACCAAGTGTGGTGGCGCAATTGTGTAGTCCCAGCTACTTGGGAGTCTGACCCAGGAGGATCACTTGAGCCTGGGAGTGGGAGGTTGCAGTGAGCTGACATTGTGCCACTGCACTCCAGCCTGGGCGACGGAGTGACATCCTGTCTCCAAAGGAAAAAAAAACAAACAAGTGATGGGTCACAGGTGCACTTCTGAAATTCAGTACAGCCAGCAAGGTGCAAGAGAAATAACCTAGACCTCACGGCTTCAGATGCAACACACATGGGATGTACACCTGACCCTTGATATTGATTCTTCAGTCGAAATTAGTCCAGACACATCAACTCCATACTTTTTGGGGAAAGTAGAAATAGGTCGAATTGTAAAGCGTTGTCGAGATGAAGCGTGCAGAGTCAGCCAACCTACTCTCATCCCTGACTCCCGGGATCCAGTAGATCCTTAGCAGATAAATGGTGTACACGGTGGTGCTTTCCGATTCTGTACTGGGGAGATGCCACCCCTTCCAGCTTGGAATATTCTCAGGCGTTCACACCTCACAGTGGCCCGACACTCTAGGTTTCCAATTTGGTCACGGGTTTCCACGAACATGATTTCAGACAGATGATGATCCAGATAAAACTAAGTGAACCAGGCTGGTTATCTTGCTGTGTATGCCAGTCTTTGCCTGTGTGTTCAAGTGAAGCTTTAGGCGTCATTCTGCCAATGAAGAGAGTCAAATTCTGTAGTGTATTTAAAAAGATTTATTCTGAGCCAAGTATGAGTGACCCTGGCCTGGGACACAGTCTTCAGGAGGTCCCGAGAACATGTCCCCAAGGTGGTTGGGGTGCAGGTTGATTTTATACATGTTCGGGAGACGTGAGACTTCAGTGAAATGCATATAAGAAACACATTGGTTTGGCTGAGAAAGGAGGGGCGACTGGAAGCTGTTGGGGGTTGGGGGACGCTCGCAGGTTATAGGTGGGTTTAAAACTTCTCTGATTGACAATTGGTTGAGTTTGTTTTTTATTTCTGAGATAGAGTTTCGCTCTTGTTGCCCGGGCTGGAGTGCAGTGGTACGATCTTGGCTCACTGTAACCTCTGCCTCCCAGATTCAAGCGATTCTCCTGCCCTCAGCCTCCCAAATAGTTGGGTTTACAGGTGCCCGCCACCACACCTGGCTAATATTGTGTGTGTGTGTGTGTGTGTGTGTGTGTGTTTGCTTTTTTTTTTTTTTTGAGACAGAGTCTTGCTCTGTCACTAGGCTGGAGTGCAGTGGCACGATTTCGGCTCACTTTAACCTCTACCTCCCGAGTTCAAGCAATTCTCCTGCCTCAGCCTCCTGAGTAGCTGGGACTACAGGCGCGTGCCACCATACCCAGCCAAATTTTGTATTTTTAATAGAGACGGGTTTTCACCATGTTGACTAGGATGGTCTCGATCTCTTGACCTCATGATCCGCCCACCTCGGCCTCCCAAAGTGCTGACCCACTGCGCTTGGTGACAATTGGTTCTTTATCTAAAGACCTGGGATCAAAATAAAGGAAATGTCTGGATTAAGATAAAGGAGTATGGAGCTTCAAGTCCTTATTTGCAGAGGAAGCCTTCAGAGAGAACAGGTTGTAAAATGTTTCTTGTCAGACTTGAAGCCTGTGTTCGTGCGAATGGGGGAGGCGTATAATGAGGTATGTCTGACCTCCACTTCTCGCCCTGGCGTGAACTCATCTCTCAGGTTAATATTTTTTAGAGATGGAGTCTTGCTCCGTTGCTCAGACTGGAGTACAGTGGCACGATCTTGGCTCACTGCAACCTTCACCTCCCGGGTTCAAGCATTTCTTTTGCCTCAGCCTCCTGAGTAGGTGGGATTACAGGCATGCGCCACCACACCCGGCTAATTTTTGCAGTTTTAGCAGAGACGGAGTTTCACCATGTCAAGGAGTTCAGGGCCGGGCTGGTCTTAAACTTCTGACTTAAAGTGATCCATCCGCCTCGGCCTCCCAAAGTGCTGGGATTATAGGAGTGAGCCACTGCACCTGGCCTTTCGGGTTAAATTTTAAAAGCACTCATTTTTTGTTTACAGTTCTGAGGAATGTAAAAGAATGAGTGTGTTTTTCACTATCTTCTTTTCTTATTAACACAGGTAATCTAAACCCATATAGAAAGCAAATAAAGGAAAAATTTCAGCTCATATGGGAAAAGGAAACCTGTCTTCACGTCCCTGAGCGTTTCTACAAAGAAAGCATGAGACATGAATGTACAGTATTGAATAAGGCATATACTGTTGCGGCTGCCCCAGTCACTGTGGTCGTGGAAGGTCCTGATGGCATCGGAAAAACAACCCTTTTAAGAAAAGTGATGTTGGACTGGGCAGAGGGGAACTTATGGAAGGATCGGTTCACATTTGTCTTTTTCCTCACTGTCTATGAAATGAACAGTATCACAGAGACCAGCTTACCGGAGATCCTCTCTAGGGACTGGCCTGAGTCTTCAGAGAAGATCGAAGACATTTTTTCCCAGCCAGAGCGAATTCTGTTGATCATGGATGGCTTTGAGCAACTGAAGCTGGACTTGGACCATCAGGCTGACGTGTGTGACGACTGGAGGCAGCGGCAGCCACTGCCAATTATCCTGAGCAGTTTGCTGCAGAAAAAGATGCTGCCAGAGTGCTCCCTGCTTCTCGCATTAGGACAGATGGGTATGCGGAAGAACTATTTTGTGTTGGAGCATCCCAAACTCATCAAGCTCTCAGGGTTCACTGAACCTGAAAGGAAGATGTATTTCTCCTGCTTCTTCGGTGAGAAGAATAAAGCCTTGAAAGTCTTTAACTTTGTGAGAGAGATTGGACCGCTGTTTATCTTGTGCCATAATCCCTTTATATGCTGGTTGGTCTGTACTTGCATGAAATACAGGCTAGAGCGGGGAGAAGACCTTGAAATAAACTCCCAAAACACCACCTCCTTGCATGCGTCCTTCATAACAAACGTATTCCAAGCGGGAAGTCAGAGTTCTCCACCTAAGTTGAACAGAGCCCGACTGAGAAACCTGAGTGCTTTGGCTGCAGAGGGACTGTGGACACATACGTTTGTCTTTGGCCGCGAGGATCTCCGGAGGAATGGGTTATCTGAGTCTGAGGGCTTGATGTGGGTGAGTATGAAGCTTCTCCAGAGGTCAGGGGACTGCTTCACTTTCATCCACGTGTGTATCCAGGAGTTCTGTGCCGCCATGTTTTATTTGCTCAGAGGACCCAAAGACAGTCCTAACCCGGCCATTGGAAGCATAACCCAGCTTGTGAGAGCCAGTGTGGCTCAACCTCAAAACTTCTTGACCCAGATGGGGGTGTTTGTGTTCGGAATTTCCACAGAAGAAATCGCCAGCATGCTGGAGATGTCCTTTGGTTTCCCACTGTCCAAAGACCTCCAGCGGGAAATAGCCCAGTGCCTTAAAAGTTTCAGTCAGTGTGAAGCTGACAGGGAAGCGATAGGTTTCCAGGAATTATTCAGTTGTTTATTTGAAACTCAGGAAAAAGAATTTGTAACACAGGTGATGAATTTCTTTGAAGAAGTTTACATTTATATTGCTAACATAGAACACTTGGTCATAGCTTCGTTCTGCGTGAAGCACTGTCGCAACTTAACGACGCTTCGCCTGTGTATGGAGAATATCTTTCCCGATGACTCAGGATGTGTTTCAGAGTGAGTCCGGCTGTCAATCCCCCGCCCCAGGCTCTGCGCTTGGAGTTTGTGCTACTGTCCAGTGGGTATTTCATGGGCCTTAGCTATTGTGTTTAAGAGCATGGAGGTTGTGGTCAGAAAGGCTTCCCTTCCAGCCTCGGCACCGTTTGCCAGCTGTGGGATCATAAGCTGCAACTTCGTGAACTTTTTCCATTTGTATAAAGAGGAATAAAAGTTTTATCTACTTCAGGCCGGGTGCGGTGGCTCAAGCCTGTAATCCCAGCACTTTGGGAGGCCGAGGCGGGTGGATCACGAGGTCAAGAGATCGAGACCATCCTGGTCAACATGGTGAAACCCCGTCTCTACCAAAAATATAAAAATTAGCTGGGCATGGTGGCGCGTGCCTGTAATCCCAGCTACTGAGGAGGCTGAGGCAGGAGAATTGCCTGAACCCAGGAGGCGGAGGTTGCGGTGAGCCGAGATCACGCCATTGCACTCCAGCCTGGGTAACGAGTGAAACTCCGCCGCAAAAAAAAAAAAGAAAAAGTTTTATCTACTTCATAGGGACAACATGTGAAGTTAAGAGGCTAGCAGGATTTTTCTTTTTTGAGATTGAGTCTTGCTCTCCTGCCCAGGCTGGAGTGCAGTGGTGTGATCTGGGCTCATTGCAACTTCCACCTCTGGTGTTCAAGTGACTCTCCTGCCTCGGCTTCCTGAGTAGCATGCGCTACCGTGTCTGGCGAATTTTTGTATTTTTGTTAGAGATGGGGTTTTGCCATGTTAGCCAGGCTGGTCTCGAACCCCTCAACTCAGGTGATCTGCCCAAAGTGCTGAGATTACAGGTGTGAGCCACCACACCCGGCTTTTTTTTTTTTTTTTTGAGACGGAGTTTCGCTCTTGTTACCCAGGCTGGAGTGCAATGGCGCGATCTCGGCTCACCGCAACCTCCGCCTCCTGGGTTCAGGCGATTCTCCTGCCTCAGCCTCCTGAGTAGCTGGGATCACAGGCACGCGCCACCATGCCCAGCTGATTTTTTGTGTTTGTAGTAGAGGCGGGATTTCACCATGTTGACCAGGATGATCTCGATCTCTTGACCTCGTGATCCACCCGCCTCGGCCTCCCAAAGTGCTGGGATTACAGGCTTGAGCCACCGCGCCCGGCCCTGCCTTTTTTTTTTTTTTTTTTTTTTTAAATAACCAATTTTATTGTTTTCAGACTGTGCTTCCCCCGCTCCCCGCGAGCATGTGCAGTATCCTCTGGTGGCCTCACTGGGAGGGGGGTCTTGTTCACGGTAATGTCTTTGGATATAGCTCCCTGTTGACTGAGATGTCACCAAATAACCCTTGTTCACGTAACAATCAAGTATTCTCATCTAAAAGAGGAGGGAATGTGGCAGAATAAGGCTGAAGGGCTTGTGCAGGGTCACACAGTTACGACGTGTGACCAGACTCACACCAGAGTTTGATTCCAATCAGTTACTCTTGTCTCAGGATCCACCTTATTTTTACTTCCAACTTTTAAGTTCGGGGGTCCACGTATAGGCTGTGCAGGTTTCTAACACAGGTAAACGTGTGCTGTGGTGGTCTGCTGCACGGATCGTTGCGTCACCCAGGTATGAAGCCCGGCATCCACTCACTGTTCTTCCTGACGCTCTCCCTCTTCCCAACTCCACACACCAACAGGCCCCAGTGTGTGATGCTCCCCTCCCTGTGTCTGTGTGTTCTCATTGTTCATCTCCCACTTAGACGTGAGAACATGGGGTGCTGGGTTTCCTCTTGCTGCGCTCGTTTGCTGAGGATAATGGCTGCCAGCTCCATCCATGTCCCTGCAAAGGACATGGTCTTGTTCCTTTTTATTGCTGCATCGTATTCCATGGTGTTGATGTACCACTTTTTCTTTATCCAGTCTATCATTGATGGATATTTAGGTTGATTCCATGTCTTTACTATTGTAAACAATGCTCACTTTTTTTTTTTTTTTGAGGCAGGGTCTTGCTCTGTTTCCCTAACAGTTCAGTGTCATGATCACAGCTCACTTTAGTCTTGGACTCCTGGGCTCAAGTGATCCTTCCACCTCAGTCCCCAAATCGTTGGGACTATACGTATATGCCACCACACCTGGCTAACTTTTTTCTTTTTTTTGAGATGGAGTCTCACTCTGTCACCCAGGCTGGAGTGCAGTGGCACAATCTTGGCTCACTGCAACCTCTACCTCTCCGGTTCAGGCGATTTTCCTGCCTCAGCCTCCTGAGTAGCTGGGACTATAGGCACATGCCACACACCTGGCTATATTTTTATTTTTAGTAGAGACAGGGTTTCGCCATGTTGGCCAGGGTGGTCTTGAACTCCTGACCTCAGGTGATCTGCCTGCCTCAGCCTCCCAAAGTGCTGGGACTACAGGTGTATGCCACCACACCTGGCTAATGTTTGTAATTTTTAGTAGAGATGGAGTCTTGCTCTGGTGCCCAGACTGTTCTCAAACTCCTGAGCTCAAGTGATTCTCTTGCCCTGGCCTCCCTAAGTGCTGGGATGACAGGCTTGAGCCACTCTGCCTGGCCAGGGCCTGCTTTCTAACTATTGCGTCATGTTGCCTCAGTATGCCTGGCTGGCCTTCTCCCTCTTCAGGCCTGGGTGTCTCATCAGCTTTGAGGGGCTTTGGAAATGGTGTTCTTCCTGTTTTGAGAATGTCTTGAATGTAGTTTAGTCACTGGACGATCAGTCTCTGTTCTCTCATAGACGCAATGAGAAGCTCATGTATTGGCGGGAGCTCTGCTCAATGTTCAGCAACAACAAGAACTTCCAAACGTTAGACATGGAGAACACCAGCTTCGATGACGCCTCCCTGGCCATTCTTTGCAAAGCGCTGGCTCAGCCTGTTTGTAAACTCCAAAAACTCATGTAAGTTCAATGTTAACTTGTCCTTTAAGCAAATAGCAGAGTTTCCTTCTCTCTTCTGGTGCCTTTTTTGAAGGAGACCAGTGCGTAAATGAAGAGCTGCAGTCCCGTGTATTAAAAATAATGACATCTAGAATGAAATCTAGTCGGAGGGACAAGGAGGGGGAGGAGTCCTGGTTAGGGGTGAGCTCTGCTTGGATGTGGATGGATGGAGAAGAGATGTTTCCCCGGTGAGAAAGGGAGAGTGCTGAGGACAGACAGAAAAATAGCCTTTAGTTTTGTCAAAAAGATAAATGTAAAGATAAGCATAATAGGTAGCACTTATAAAACAGAGCAGGGTGCTAATGTCAATAGTTTCTTTGAATCCTAATGATTTTTTTTAGTTTTTTAGTTTTTTTTTTTTTTTTTTGAGACGGAGTTTCGCTCTCGTTACCCAGGCTGGAGTGCAATGGCACGATCTCGGCTCACCGCAACCTCCGCCTCCTGGGTTCAGGCAATTCTCCTGCCTCAGCCTCCTGAGTAGCTGGGATTACAGGCACACGCCACCACGCCCAGCTAATTTTTTGTATTTTTTGTAGAGACGGGGTTTCACCATGTTGACCAGGATGGTCTCGATCTCTTGACCTCATGATCCACCCTCCTCAGCCTCCCAAAGTGCTGGGATTACAGACTTGAGCCACCGCGCCCGGCTGTCAAAGTTTTTATAAAGGAAACTTTGCCATTGTAGTAAATTATATCAGTAGATCTCAATAATTGGGGGTAAAAGATGACAATTGGATTTTTAAGTGATTTAGTATTTCCTCCTCCTCTTTGGGGGCTGGGTAGGAGGGCTTACCTGCTCTTAGAGTAAGGCACGCATATCTCACTGTTTTACAGCTGAACTTGAATTGTACACGTCCAGTGTAAAATAAGAATTTCTTTAGCATTTTTGTACCACTAAAAATAGATAACTTAGAACTCAGTCTTGATAACTGAAATGACTTATTTCGCTTAGGATATATTTCCCCTTCTCTACCATCTCCACAGATGCCATTGGGAGGTTTTGAAAAATCAGCTTAATAGCTCAAAATGGTCCCGGATTTTATTTTAGAGGAAATTGTTTCATAAATGTGAACTTAGACCCTAAGCATTTGTCAGAAAGTTAAAAAAATATATATATATATTTTATATATATTTATATATATCTTTTATATATATTTTTATATATATCTTATATATATATTTTTATATATATCTTTTATATATATATATTTATATATATCTTATCTTTTATATATATATTTATATATATATCTTTTATATACATATATATATATATGTGGTTGATAGGGAATGCCTGCTTTCCATGGGCAGGTGGTACCTATCACTTGCACATTGAGGGGGTCACTCTGCCAGTGATTCCCCTCAGTTCCTCCAGCCTGCCATTTCCTTCTGCAATCTGCCCTTAATTGTCTTTGGATTCTGGCCTACTCAAAATTCCCATTCTAGTTTTTGAACATGGCAAAATATTTACTTTTAAAATTCCATCATTTCTTAAAGTTGACTAGGAGAGAAATCAGGGTGTACTCATCTGCTACAATACCAGGAGTCTGATACAGCAGTTTTCACGTGTCCTGTATTTATACTTATGTGTGTCTGGTTTGTAAATACACATTTATCAGGCTAATATATTTATCTGGTTCATATATGAATTTTGTCTGGTTTATAAGTACATATTCTGGTTTGCAAATACATATTTATCTGGTAAATATATATCTGGTTTATAGATACGTATTTGGTTTATAAGTACACATATATGGCAAATACATGTAGATATTAAAATAAAAGACAACATGAATTGGCCGTCTTCCAGGCATTATAATAAATGCTAATTTCTTTTTTTTGAGATGGAGTTTTGCTCTCGTTGCCCAGGCTGGAGTGATCTCAGCTCATTGCAACCTCTGCCTCCCAGGTTCAAGCGATTATCCTGCCTCTGCCTCCTGAGTAGCTGGGATTATAGGCACGCACTACCATACCCAGCTAATTTTTTGTGTTTTTAGTAGAGACGGGGTTTCGCCTTGTTGGCTAGGCTGGTCTCAAACTCCTGACCTCATGTGATCTGCCTGCCTCGGCCTCCTGAAGTGCTGGGATTACAGGTGTGAGCCACTATGCCCGGCCTTAAATGCTAATTTCTCAATCACCATGACCGTGTTTATTTCATGAGGAGACTGGACCGCACAGCCATTAGGTTATTTGCCCAATCTTGCAAAAGCAACAAGGAGAAAAGCAAAACGTCAAATCCAATTTTCTGTACCTCTGGAGCCCGAGGTTTTTTTTTTGACAGTACTTAACATCGTATCCTTTATTTAAAAAATCGTAGCTTTGAAAAGGAAATGGGTTCTTTCCTTGGGTAACAGTTTTGCTTGGAGCATTAACTCAGATATGTGCCCGTCTATTTTACGTGAGGCATTAATCTTGGAACACAAAGAGGTGTAAGCATCGTTGGTCCCTGTTCTCAGGGGCTCAGTTTAACGTGGGATGCGTCTGATTCATTTTCCTTCTATGCTTGGTGTTATGTACTAGTGGACAGACTAGGAAGAAACAGGAAAAGTCTCAACAGCTTGAGCCTCTGTGCTTGTCTGGTGTCTGAAGACGCCATCAAGAAATAATTGATGAGCAGGAGTAACCAGAATTCCAGAAACGGTGTTGAGAGGCCAAGTATTGAGGGCAGGAAGAATCGTGTAAGAGGTGTCTGGCTTTGTGCTGGGATCTCGTTGCATGACTGTATTTTTTAATCTTTTGCAGGCTTACTTTTATGTCTGACTTTGGACATGACACGGAATTATTTAGGGCTGTTCTTCACAACCCTCACCTGAAAATTCTGAGCCTCTATGGCACGAGCCTCTGCCACACCAAAGTCAAGCACCTTTGTGAGACGCTGAGGCACCCAATGTGCAGGATAGAAGAGCTCATGTGAGTCTGGGCTGCTCGTGCCAAATGCTGTTTCTCCCCAAGGTGGGCTCTGCAGTGTGAATGTTCTCGTTTTCCTTCTGGAGGGTCACTGAATCAGTCCTCACCTCTCTTGTTTTTCATCTTTTGGATCTCAGTCTGTCTGGTACGGTGAAGGTAGATTCCAGTGGGCAAGGCCTCCTCTGAGAAGGTTTATTTACACCTTCCCATCTCACTTCAATTACTTCTTTTTTTTTTTTTGAGACGGAGTTTCGCTCTTGTTACCCAGGCTGGAGTGCAATGGCACGATCTCGACTCACCGCAACCTCCGCCTCCTGGGCTCAGGCAATTCTCCTGCCTCAGCCTCCTGAGTAGCTGGGATTACAGGCACGCGCCACCATGCCCAGCTAATTTTTTGTATTTTTAGTAGAGACGAGGTTTCACCAAGTTGACTGGAATGGTCTCGATCTCTTGACCTCGTGATCCACCCGCCTCGGCCTCCCAAAGTGCTGGGATTACAGGCTTGAGCCACCGCGCCCGGCCTTTTTTTTTTTTTTTTTTTTTTTTTTTTGAGACAGGGTCTCACTCTGTTACTCTGTGGCCCCGACTGGATTACAGTGAGGCGATCTTGGCTCACTGCAACCTCAGCCTCCTGGGCTCAAGGGATCCTTCCACCTCAGTCTCCTGAGTAGCTAGGATTACAGGTGCACCCCACCACACACAGCTCATTTTTATATTTTCTGTAGAGATGGGGTTTCACCCTGTTGTCCAGGCTGATCTTTAACTCCTGGTCTCAAGTGATCTGCCCGCCCTGACCTCCTCAAGTACTGGGATTACAGTACTCCACACGAGCCACTGAGCCCAGCCTCATCTCACAGACGCCCCACTTGATACTTCTTGGTTGTGCCGTCAACAAACCAGGATAAAACAACACCGTTTTTTCCCCTAAAGATATTTACAGAAACTTAAAAGTGAAGCATGGTAATGGTCACAAGTGTGATCATCTACTTTGGCAGTTGACAGCATTAAAGCCAAGGGAAACCTGACTTGCCCAAAGTAACGTCTTTCTCTTGAAAATTTTCTGGGCTGCCCCATCTTAATTGGGTGATTTTTAGGAGAGCCTATGTATCTTTCAAAAGACAACAAAGGGAAGTCATCGAGGCAGCAATAAACAAAGTCAGCTCATGAAACCTGCCAGGAGAACACGGTCTTCTCTCTCCCAGTTCACTGTCTTTTTGTTGCAGTAACCATCAAAATGTAACTGACAGAATCACATATACTCTGTTAGTTTTTTGCATCCAGACTTAACGGGAGAGAAAGAGGCAGGTTCTGTGCATAAGGGTTGTTTGTAGAACTGTGGATATCACTCCTCATTCAAGCTGTTTCTGTATCATGGCAAGTTTTTTTTTTTGTTTAAATTGTACTTTAAGTTCTGGGGTACGTGTACAGAATGTGCAGGTTTGTTACGTAGGTATACATGTGCCACGGTGGTTTGCTGCATCCATCCCCCGCCCCCCGTCATCTACATTAGGCATCTCTCCTAATGCTCTCCCTCCTCTAGTCCCACACACCCCGACAGGCCCCTGTGTGTGATGTGCCCCTCCCTGTGTCCGTATGTTCTCATTGTTCAATACTCATTTCTGAGTGAGAACATGTGGTGTTTGGTTTTCTGTTCCTGTGTCAGTTTGCTGAGACTGATGGTTTCTAGCTTTATCCATGTCCCTGCAACGGACATGCTCTTGTTCCTTTTTTATGGCTGCATAATATTCCATGGTGTATATGTGCTACATTTTCTTTATCCAGTCTATCATTGATGGGCATCTGGGTTGGTTCTCAGTCTTTACTATTGTGAACAGTGCATGACAACTTTTTTTTTTTTTTTTCCCCCAACTTCTACTCTTTCTCTTCTCAGGGGAAACTTTGAAAATTCCATAGTATTTTGCTCTGTTTCCTAATTACATTATTTGTATTGGGTTTCATCTATCATATATTAACATAAGGATTGGGGAACATACTGTAGGTAGAAATGTTGCCTTTTGGGGCAGACTATTCATTTACTTCAGTGTGGTCGTGGTGGTGGGAGGTCTTCAAATCAGGTTCTCTCTAGCTAAGTAGTGGGATGTCAATGTTGAGAGACACGTTCAGTGATCACAACTGAGTTGGGGGGCGCCGCTGACATCTGGTGGACAGAGACCAAGCCTGTTAATCTGTTTTCACGCTGCTGGAAAAACATACCTGAGATTGGGCAGTTTACAGAAGGATTTGCTGGGCTTCCAGTTGTTCCATATGGCTGGGGAGGCCGCACAATCATGGCGGGAGGTGAAAGGCGCATCTCACATGGTGGCAAACAGGAGAAAAGAGCGTGTGCAGGGAAACTCCCCTTTATGAAACCATCAGATCTTGTGAGACTTATTAACTGTCACAAGAACAGCATGGGGGGCCGGGCGCGGTGGCTCAAGCCTGTCATCCCAGCACTTTGGGAGGCCGAGGCGGGTGGATCACGAGGTCAAGAGATCGAGACCATCCCGGTCAACATGGTGAAACCCCGTCTCTACTAAAAATAAAAAAAAATTAGCTGGGCATGGTGGCGCGTGCCTGTAATCCCAGCTACTCAGGAGGCTGAGGCAGGAGAATTGCCTGAACCCAGGAGGCGGAGGTTGCGGTGAGCCAAGATCGCGCCATTGCACTCCAGCCTGGGTAACAAGAGCGAAACTCCGTCTCAAAAAAAAAAAAAAAAAAGACATGCCCCCATGATTTAATTATCTCCCACTGGGTCTCTCCCGTAACATGTGGGCATTATGGGCCTACAGGATGAGATTTGGGTGGGGACACAGAGCAAGGTTGCTGCTAAATACCCAGTAATGTACAGGCCAGCTCCCCAACAATGAAGGATTATCTAGTCCGAATGTCAGCAGTGCTAGTCTGTGAAGTGCCCTAGGACAGATGAGAGTGATGCTTCTCTTCTGGTGGTGGGAGGGGTCAGCTTGGCTAAAACAGAATGAGATATTTGCTTAAATCTAATGCAGGGGCTTGTGTACTAGAAAAAAAAACCATCCAATAATATGCAGAGGCCCTGGACAAACATTTTTATGGATACCACCACCATAATTCATGTGTATCTGGAAACCTTTATGACAAACACCTGTTTTTCCACATCAGCCATTTTACTTTGTCATTGTTTACTTTTTATTGAAAGATTATTATACTCACAGGAAATCAGTATAGAGAAGTCCCACGTACGTCATCACACAGCTTCCACCAAAGGTAACACCTTACATAACACCAGTGTATTCTTTTTTTTTTTTGAGACGGAATTTCGCTCTTGTTACCCAGGCTGGAGTGCAATGGCACCATCTCGGCTCACCGAAACTTCCGCCTCCTGGGTTCAGGTAATTCTCCTGCCTCAGCCTCCTGAGTAGCTGGGATTACAGGCACGTGCCACCATACCCAGTTAATTTTTTTGTATTTTTAGTAGAGACGGGGTTTCACCATGTTGACCAGGACGGTCTCGATCTCTCGACCTCGTGATCCACCCGCCTCGGCCTCCCAAAGTGCTGGGATTACAGGTTTGAGCCACCGCGCCCGGCCTAAAATTTTTTTTTTTAAGATGGAGTTTCACTCCTGTTGCCTAGGCTGGAGTCCAGTGGCGCCATCTCGGCTCACCATAACCTCTGCCTCCCAGGTTCAAGTGATTCTCCTGCCTTGGTCTCCCGAGTAGCTGGAATTACAGGCATACACCACCATGCCTAGCTAATTTTTTCTATTTTTAGTAGAGACAGGATTTCTCCATGTTGGCCAGGCTGGTCTCAAACTCCTGACCTCAGGTGATCCACCAGAGTCGGCCTGCCAAAGTGCTGGGATTACAGGTGTGAGCCACTGTGCCAGGCTCAAAGCTGTTTTTAAAAAATAACTTTTTATAAAACTTGCAGTGAAACTAGACTTAATCAGTATCTTTTGGCCAGAGGCTTCCCGGGATTATACTGCCATGAAATGAACGTCGTTTTACTTGTCCCACCTTCTTGCTAACATTTGATGGCGTTGATCTTTTCAAATCCATTCTGCTTAGGGCATAATGTCTGAGTGGGTTTAATTTGCATTTCTCTGATGACTAAGAATTTGAGCGCCTTTTCATATGTTTGACTTTCTGGGCTTCCTGTTGTGGTATGTCTGCTCGATGTGCTGGTGTAGCCCATTGGTTTAATGGGTTGTCTTTTTCTAATTGATTGATGGATGTTCTTTCTATATTGGGGAATGAATCCTAAGTCAAATATATACGCATTGCAAATATCTTCTATGTGGTTTGGTTTTCCACATACTTTTTTTTTTTTTGAGACGGAGTTTCGCTCTTGTTACCCAGGCTGGAGTGCAATGGCGCGATCTCGGCTCACCGCAACCTCCGCCTCCTGGGTTCAGGCAATTCTCCTGCCTCAGCCTCCTGAGTAGCTGGGATTACAGGCACGCGCCACCATGCCCAGCTAATTTTTTGTATTTTTAGTAGAGACGCGGTTTCACCATGTTGACCAGGATGGTCTCGATCTCATGACCTCGTGACGGACCCGCCTCGACCTCCCAAAGTGCTGGGATTACAGGCGTGAGCCACCACACCTGGCTGGTTTTCCACATTCTTAATATCATCTTTGAATTAAGAGAGATTCCTTAGGCCGGGCGAAGTGGCTCAAGCCTATAATCCCAGCACTTTGGGAGGCCGAGGCGGGTGGATCACAAGGTCAAGAGATCGAGACCATCTCAGTCAACATGGTGAAACCCCGTCTCTACTAAAAATACAAAACATTAGCTGGGCATGGTGGCTCGTGCCTGTAATCCCAGCTACTCAGGAGGCTGAGGCAGGAGAATTGCCTGAACCCAGGAGGCGGAGGTTGCGGTGAGCCGAGATCGCGCCATTGCACCCCAGCCTGGGTAACAAGAGCGAAACTCCGTCTCAAAAAAAAAAAAAAAAAAAAAGGAGAGATTCCTTATCAAAACTAAATTGATCTTCTCATGTTCAACTGTCTTTTGCATGTGTTTAGGGAATTGTTGCCAGGCTTAGAGGCTTATGCCTGTGATCCCAGCACTTTGAGGGGCTGAGGCAGGAGGATCACTTGAGGCCAGGAGCTGGAGACCAGCCTCAGTAACACAGTGAGAACCCCCATCTCTAAAAAAGAAATTCACTAGGTATGGTGGTGCATACCTGCAGTCTCAGCTACTCGGGAGGCTGACACACGAGGACCTCTTGAGCCCAAAAGTCCAAGGTTGCTGCAGGGAGCGGTCATCACGTCACTGGACTTGAGTGACAGAGTAAGACCCAGTTTCAAAAGAAAAAAATAATTGTTTCCAGGCCCAAAGTCATAGATAACTTCCTATGCATTTTTCTCTAAAAGTCTTATTTTACCATGCAAAATTGGGGCTATAATCTATTTGGAATTAATGTTTCTGTGCAGTATAAAGTCAGGTGTAAGAAAAAATTTTTCATACATGAACACAGAATGCTGTTGAAAGATGACTTTTTCTTAAGTGAACAACCAACAGTAGTTACCTTTACAAACCAGGTGACTACGGTGTATTCCAGGTGACCATGGTGTATTTATGAACCACAAATACCTCTTTTTATTTTAATTTTGAAGATTTCTTTTCCCCTAGACATCAGAGAATTGTAGGTTTTCAATGTTTTCTTTTGTTCCTTTTTTTTTTTTTTTTTTTCCCTACCCAGGCTGGAGTGCAGTGGCACGATCTCGGCTCACTGCAACCTCTGTCTCCCGGGTTCAAGTGATTCTCCTGCCTTAGCCTCCCAAGTACCTGGGACTACAGGCAGATGCCATTCTGACGTCCATGCTCTTTCTAAGTGTAGCCATCAGTGTTTCATCCCAGGGTAGGCAATGTGTCTCTGGCTAATTTTAAGGGTTTTTTTTCCCTCCCCCCTAATTTTGTGTGCTTTTGGTATTTCTTTGTATTTAAACTGCTTAAGAATTTGCTGAGCTTCCTACATTTGTAGATGAATGTTTGCACAGGCTTCTGAGGACACTTTACCATGATCTCTAGCTTTAAATATTGCTTCTGCTGCATCTTATCTCTAATTTCCTCTTGGTCTAGGACGAGAGATCCCCATCATACTTTAAATCAAGAGCCTTGAAGAATGAGGAGCTTTCTACGGGGTACATAAGATAATTTGATACAGCCATGCAATAAGTAATAAAAAGTTAAAAGACTGAGGAACTTTCTAAAAATTATAATGGAGAGCAAACAATCCATGCATAAACCTTGCAATGTGCACTGCCCTTTGAGTAGGATGGAGAAGGGAGATCTGAAGGCAGCTGTGGTGGCTGGTGCCTGTAATCCCAGCACTTTGGGAGGCTGAGTGCGCAGACATCTTGAAGTCAGGAGTTTACCAGCCTGGCTAACATGGTGAAACCCTGTCTTTACTAAAAATTAAAAAAATTAGCTGGGCTTGGTGGCACACACCTGTGATCCCAGCTACTTGGGAGGCTGAGGCAGGAGAATTGCTTGAACCCAGGAGGCGGAGGTTGCAGTGAGCCGAGATCACGCCACTGCACTATAGTCTGGGCGACAGAGTGAGGCTCCATCTCAAAAAAAACAAGTCTGTAATATAGACAATGGATCTGCAGGTGCAAGATTAGGATCAGAGGTGTCGGGTGGTCTGTGGCCAATCTTGCGTGAGTCATTGAAAGCTCTGGTCCCATCTCATGGTGTGTGTCTCGTGTGCAGACTGGGAAAGTGTGACCTCTCCCATGAAGCTTGTGAAGACATCGCCTCTGTTCTCACCTGCAACAACAAGCTGAAACTTCTCTCCTTGGTAGAAAACCCCTTGAGGGATGAAGGCATGGTGTTTCTGTGTGAAGGTCTGAAGCACCCGAACTGTGCCCTCGAGAAGCTGATGTAAGTGGGGCTGTGGGAAGTAGGTTGAGGGGGAGACTCTGAAACGTGCACTTGGGTCCGCCCGTTAGCAAAGCCGTTGAGTGCTCCCTGAGGGGCATGGCAGAATGTGGAATCCACAGGTAGACCTGTTCCCTTTCTATGCCTCAGTTGCTCATCAGTACAGTGGAGCTGGCTGGGTGCAGTGGCTCACACCTGTCATCCCAGTATTTTGGGAGGCTGAGGTAGGTGGATCACCTGAGGTCAGGAGTTTGAGACCAGCCTGGCCAACATGGCAAAACCTCTTCTCCACTAAAAATAGAGAAATTAACCGGATGTGGTAGCGGGTACCTATAATCCCAATTACGTGGGAGGCTGAGGCCGGACAATTACTTGAACTCAGAAGGTGGAGGTTGCTGTGAGCCAAGATCACATCACATCACTGCACTCTAACCCGGGTGAAAGAGCCAAGACTCCATCTCACAATAAATAAATAAAATGGTGCTAATAAGAAACCATAGAGGCACCATGAGATTGAAATCGGGAGGTGCAGGACTAGCTCCCATACGTCTCGCATCTCATTTGGAGCTCAGTAAATCTTGGTTGTCACGAAGCAAGCGGGATGATGTCCCTGTGGGTATCCTGCATGCTGGGGTAGGGGAGAATAAATACTTTGTTTTTTTTTAGATGGAGTTTTGCTCTTGTTGCCCAGGCTGGAGTGCAATGGTGCAATCTAAGCTCACTGCAACCTCTGCCTTCTGGGTTCAAGTGATTCTCCTGCCTCAGCCTCCCAAGTAGCTGGGATTATAGGCACCTATCACCATGCCCAGCTAATTTTTGTATTTTTAGTAGAGATGGCATTTCTCACGTTGGTCAGGCTGGTCTCACACTCCCGACCTCAGGTGATCCACCTGCCTCGGCCTCCCAAAGTGCTGGGATTACAGGTGTGAGCCATGGTGCCCAGCCTGGGAGAATAAATACTTAAGAAAGGGGAAATCATTAGATTCCTTTCCAGTATGGGGCTTGGCATGTTTAGGGTTATTACTGGGCTCCTCCAGCGTGTCCTCTTACCTGCTGCTGCTGTGTAAAGTGACCTGTCTCCTCGGTGGGTGGTGCATGGTAAGGGTCACAGTACAGCACATTCTCTATTTTCCCAGTGAGGCCACGCTAGACACTTGGTGTTCGGTGAGAAAAGTTGCTGCAGGGCCTTAAAACTGGGGACATGCAGCCGGGCGCGGTGGCTCAAGCCTGTAATCCCAGCACTTTGGGAGGCCGAGGCGGGTGGATCACAAGGTCGAGAGATCGAGACCAACCTGGTCAACATGGTGAAACCCCGTCTCTACTAAAAATACAAAAAATTAGCTGGGCATGGTGGCACGTGCCTATAATCCCAGCTACTCAGGAGGCTGAGGCAGGAGAATTGCCTGAACCCAGGGGGCGGAGGTTGCGGTGAGCCGAGATCGCGCCATTGCACTCCAGCCTGGGTAACAAGAGTGAAACTCCGTCTCAAAAAAAAAAAAAAAAAAAAAAAAAAAAACTGGGGACATGCAAAAAAAAAAAAAAAATTAAAAACAAAACTGGGACAGGCAAACTGGGGACATGCAACACTCAAGTCCATAGAGCGGGAAGTGCCAGCTCTGTTCACATGCTGTGCACACGGGCATTCATGTACATGTGGGTCACATGATCATGCATCCATGTGGAAGAAGACAGGGCTAGAATCAACTGTTACTGAGATGATTGTTTAGACTGTAAAAGGAAACCCGCCTCGGCCTCCCAAAGGGCTGGGAGTACAGGCGTGAGCCCCTGCGCCGCGCTCCCTGTTTTCTTGAGTGACAGCAGAATTCAAGGCATACCTAGAAAGGTTTTTTTGCCTGTGGCAGAGACAGCGCGTTAATGTCACTGCGGGAAGCCTCCGTGGGCTGGTCGACGGTGTGTTTCTTTGCAGGTTGATGTACTGCTGTCTCACCTGTGTCTCCTGTGAGGCCATTTCCGAAGGGCTTGCGCGCAGTAAATCCCTGTCCCTCCTCGATCTGGGGTCCAATCATCTGGAAGACAGTGCGGTGGCGTTGCTGTGCGAAGCGCTGAAGCACCCAGACTGTAGCATACGGGAGCTGTGGTAGGACTGGCCGTGATTCGCGTCGCCGTCACGGTTTCTTTTCTGGATGTTGGCACTGGGAAAAAAACAGGAAAGGGATATGCTGGCATCTGAAGGGGTATGCCTTTCCCCAATTCGGATGGTGGATCCCACCCCCAAGCTGATGGTACTGGGAGGTGTGGGGCCTTTGGGAGGTGGTTAGGTCATAAGGGTGGAGCGTCCCACTCCTATAAAAGAGGCCCCAGGCCCGGCGCGGTGGCTCATGCCTGTAATCCCAGGACTTTGGGAGGCCCAGGTGGGTGGTCACAAGGTCAGGAGATGGAGACCATCCTGGCCAACATGGTGGAACCCCGTGTCTACTAAAAAAATAAATTGTTGGGTATAGTTGTGGGAGCCTGTAGTCCCATACCTGTAGCTACAAAGTAGTTGTAGTCCCGAGTAGCTAAGTGCCTGTAGCTACTCAGTAGGCTGAGGCAGAATAATTGCTTGAATCCGGGAGGCAGAGGTTGCAGTGAGTTGAGATCATGCCACTGCACTCCAGCTTGGGTCACAGAGCGAGACTCTGTCTCAAAAAAAAATAGAGAGGGCCCAGAGACTTTGCCCCTCCACCGTCTGTGGACACAGTAAGAAAATGCCACCTGCAGCCAGGTGTAGTGGCTCATACCTGTAATTCAAGTACTTTAGAGGCCAAGGTGGGCGGATCACCTGAGGTCAGGAGTTCAAGACCAGCCTGACCAACATGGTGAAATCCTGTCTTTAAAAAAGAAAAAAGAAAATGCTACCTGCTAATCAGAACGTGGCCCTCACCAGACAGTTTGTTGACATCTTAATCTTGGACTTCCCAGCTCCAGAACTGTGAGAAGTACATTTCTGTCATCTCTAAGGGACCCGTTTCAGTCTGTGGTATTTTGTTATAACAGCCCGCATAGACTGAGACAGGAAGAGAACCTGGTTCTGGGAGCGTTCCTGGAAAGGGGTTGTAAGGTCGCAGCACAGGACTCGGGGGTTGTGGCTCGGGCTCTAGAAAGGCCTGGATGGAGTCCCGAGTGCCCCTGACCGGGTGAGCTTGTGTAGACGACTCCCCTCTCCCTGGCTAATGTGAGGATAGCTGCAGTCTCTCTTAAAGAACTGAGGTGGCCAGTGGGAGTCACATGCTTGAATGCCTGAAGGATTATCATCAATGCCTGGCTCTTCGTGCACTCTTCAGTAACGTGGTGCATGAGCATCATTCATTCCTTCTGCTAGGAACTGAAGACAATTCTGGGGGGATTCCTCCCTCCTCCTTCCCTGTCCCCTCCTCTCCCCTCTCCCCGCCCTTCTGTTCTCTCCTCTTTTCTGTTCCCTCCCTCCCTTTTCCCCTCTCCCCCCCTCCCTCACCCCTGCCACCCCCTCCTTCCCCGCTGCACCCTGCTCCCATCCCCTTTTCCCCCTTACGCCCCGCTTCTTTCCCCTCCCATCTCTCCTATTCTCCCTCGTTCTTCTCTCTCCTCTCCCCAGCCTCTTCCACATCTCCGAAGTACATGGGTATTTCTTGCTTCATAAGAATAAATGAAAATTAGCTAGACCATTATAAGTGACCTCATAAGTGACCTCATTTAAGTGTATATACATATGTGTGTATGTGTGTGTATATTTCCCCCCCACAGGTTGATGGCTTGTTTCCTTACTTCTGATTCCTGTAAGGACATTGCTGATGTTCTCATCTGCAATGAAAAACTGAAGATCCTGAAACTTGGGCATAATGAAATAGGAGATGCTGGTGTCAGACAGTTGTGTGAAGCTTTGAAGCATCCTAACTGTAAATTAGAGTGTCTTGGGTGAGTATCTACTGACCATCATCGTAGGAAAAGTTACCTATGTTTAGAATAGGAAAAGCTGGAGGGTTGACAGAATGGAAGGGGGCAAGTTTAAAAGCTTGAAGGATTATTTTTAAAAGCTAAAAGCGAGTCTGTCTGGGATGGTCTGATGAGTGAAATGCTGTCCCAGGGTTTGCTCAGGGTTGGTACTCTTGCTGTTTGGGACTGGAGAGTTTCTTGCCTCGGGGGCCATCCTCTGCATCACAGGATGTCAGCTGTGGCCCTGGCCACTATCCTCAAGTTGCCAGCAGCACCCTTTAGTTGGGGTAAATGTCACTAGACACATGTCCCCCAGGAGCACAATCACCCTGGCTGAGAACCGCTCTTTTAGACTGTAAAGTCCCCTGCCTGGAGGTATGTCACCAACAAGTAACAATGGTGTGCCTGGCCGGGAGCAGTGGCTTACGCCTGTAATCCCAGCACTTTGGGAGGCCGAGGCAGGCAGATTCCCCGAGGTCAGGAGTTTGAGATCAGCCTGGCCAACATGGCGAAACCCCATCTCTACTAAAAACACAAAAATTAGCCAGGTGTGGTGGTGCGTACCTGTAATCCCATCTGCTTGGGAGGCTGAGGCAGGAGAATCCCTTGAACCCTGGAGGTGGAGGTTGCGGTGAGCTGAGATCGCGCCGTTGCACTCCAGCCTGGTGAAGCTGTCTTAAAAGAGCACCAGCAGCCGCCAACTGGCTGCCTTCCAGCCTGCCCAAAGCCAAGGCGGTTTCTCTGCTTTCCCTTTCGCAGGCTGCAAACATGTCGGATCACCCACGCCTGCTGTGAAGACCTCGCTGCAGCACTGGTCGCCAGCAAAACGCTGAGGAGCCTGAACCTTGACTGGATTACCTTGGACCCTGAGGGCGTGGTGTTGCTGTGTGCCGCTCTGAGCCACCCGGACTGTGCCCTGCAGATGCTGGGGTGAGTGGACGCTGTTTTCCTTGGTGGTGAGCGACTTCAGAACAAGCTTACTTGCCCATCCGCGACACGATGGACACCAGGCTGGAGGGTTCTTAGTGGTGGGGCCTGCCCTGGGCCCCCGTGCACACTGTAAGATGTCAAGCAGCGTGCTTGGCCTTTCTCATGGGTTGCCAGTAGCACCTCCCTGAGTGATGACAACGAAAAAGAGCTCCAGAAATTGTCAAAAGCGCCCTGGAGACACAGTCCCACCAGGTGAGAACCACTGCTCTCCTGAAACGTCATCTCCTGCCCATGTTGCCGTAAGTATGCAACCCCAGCTCAGACTTGGGAGCGCTTCTGGAATGGGCTGAGCAGGGTCTCGATCCAGAAATACAGTCGCTAAACGGCAGCAGTTAACGCTGTTTGGAAAATTAGGTCTGCATTTAGAGTGGGCTTGTTTGAAATCTGTGGGATGAATTTTTAAAGTTATTTTTCCTTCTGATCTTGTTTTTTTCATTTTTTTTTTTTTTTTAAACGGAGTTTCGCTCTTGTTACCCAGGCTGGAGTGCAATGGCGCGATCTCAGCTCACCGCAACCTCCGCCTCCTGGGTTCAGGCAATTCTCCTGCCTCAGCCTCCTGAGTAGCTGGGATTACAGACACGCGCCACCATGCCCAGCTAATTTTTTGTATTTTTAGTAGAGACGGGGTTTCACCATGTTGACCAGGATGATCTCGATCTCTCGACCTCGTGATCCACGCGCCTGAGTCTCCCAAAGTGCTGAGATTACAGGCTTGAGCCACTGCGCCCGGCCTGTTTTTTTCATTTTTAAAGGTTTTTTTTTTTATTATTATTAAAAATGGGTGGAGTGGGCTGGGCGCAGTGGCTCACGCCTATAATCCCAGCACTTTGGGAGGTGGGTGGATCATGAGGTCAAGAGATCGAGACCATCCTGGTCAACAAGGTGAAAGCCCATTTCTACTAAAAATACAAAAATTAACTGGGCATGGTGGCGCGTGCCTGTAATCCCAGCTACTTGGGAGGCTGAGGCAGGAGAATTGCTTGAACCCAGGAGGCGGAGGCTGCGGCGAGCTGAGATCGCGCCATTGCACTCCAGCCTGAGTAACGAGTGAAACTCCGTCTCAAAAAATAAATAAATAGGCCGGGCGCGGTGGCTCAAGCCTGTAATCCCAGCACTTTGGGAGGCCGAGGCGGGTGGATCACGAGGTCGAGAGATCGAGACCAACCTGGTCAACATGGTGAAACCCCGTCTCGACTAAAAATACAAAAAATTAGCTGGGCATGGTGGTGCGTGCCTATAATCCCAGCTACTCAGGAGGCTGAGGCAGGACAACTGCCTGAACCCAGGAGGCGGAGGTTGCGGTGAGCCGAGATCGATCGCGCCATTGCACTCCAGCCTGGGTAACAAGAGCGAAACTCTGTCTCAAAAAAAAAAAAAAAAAAAAAAAAAATTAAAAAAATAAAAATGGGTGGGATATATGGAAGAGGCTGAATATCGATAATTGTTGAAGTTTGTGATGGGTACATGAATTCATTATATGTCTCTGAAAACTCAATATGTGTATGTTTTTATATACATTTTAAAATAAGCAATGAATGTGCTTGGGGCATATGAACATCAAATGAATACATGTTGTCTTTTTTTTTTAAACCTAAACTTGTCTTTTTGTAAGCAATTCTTAATCTTATTTATTTTGAGACTGGGTTATGAGGCTGGCTAATTTTTGTATTTTTGGTAGAGATGGTGTTTCACCATATTGCCCAGGCTGGTCTCGAACCCCTGGGCTCAAGTGATCCATTCGCCTGGGCCTCCTGAAGTGCTGGGATTGCAGGTGTGATCCACGGAGCCCAGCCTGTAGGATGCATATTTGAATGCTTGCTAGGATGATGTGCTGGGCACGCGGTCACAAACAAAACCGTTCACATCTCTGTCCTTGTGCTCTTGATGCGGGGGTGGGAGGGTTGGTGTGTAAGAGGTAATGAGTGAGATGCTGAGAAGAGCAAGGGTTGGGGGTTACTGAGCAGTGAGAGGCAGGGCACTGGACCAGGGCAGGACTGGTCGAAGAGGCAGGAGAGGCCTGGGGTGGCGGCCGGGGCAGGTGGTCAGAGATTCTAGAGAGCCAGGGACAGTTCTGAGTTCCTTAAGTACATTAACTCACAGTGGTCTATGAGGGCACTCCTGTTACCTGCCTTTTGAGTGAGGACGCTGATGCTCAGGGACGGAGTTCTGCTGCTTGAGGGGTTGTTGAGCTGGACCTTGAAGGTAGCGATGAAGGCTACAGATACACAGCTCTTGACAATGTACTTGACCAGAAATGCTCCCAGGGTGGGCTCTGAGGAAAGTTCCCAGCAGAGTTCAAAGAGGTCAGCTGAACTGTATCTGTCTGTTCTTGCATTGCTACGAAGAATATCTGAGACTGGTAATTTTTCTTTTGAGACAGTCTTGCTTTGTTGCCCAGGCTGGAGTGCAGTGGCGCGATCTCTACTCACTGCAGCCTCCGCCGCCTGGCCTCAAGCAATTCTCATGCTTCAGTGTCCCGAGAAGCTGGGATACAGGCACGTACCACCATGCCCGGCTAAGCTTTGTATTTTTGGTAGAGACAGGGTTTCACCATGTTGGCCCTGCTGGTCTGACCTCGGGTGATCCACCTGCCTCAGCCTCCAAAAGTATTGAGATTACATGCGTGAGCCACCACACCTGGCAGAGACTGGTAACTTAAGAGGTTTGTTTTTTTTTTTTTTTTTGGGGAGATGGAATCTCACTCTATTGCCCAGGGTGGAATGCAGTGGCGCGATCTTGGCTCACTGCAACCTACACTTCTGGGGTTCAAGCGATTCTTCTGCCCCAGCCTCCTGAGTAGCTGGGATTATAGGTACACACCACCATGCCCAGCTAATCTTTTTATTTTTAGTAGAGACGGGGTTTCACCATGTTGGCCCTGCTGGTCTGACCTCGGGTGATCCACCTGCCTCAGCCTCCAAAAGTACTGAGATTACATGCGTGAGCCACCACACCTGGCAGAGACTGGTAACTTAAGAGGTTTTTTTGTTTTTTGTTTTTTGTTTTTTTTTTTGGGGGGAGATGGAATCTCACTCTATTGCCCAGGGTGGAATGCAGTGGCGCGATCTTGGCTCACTGCAACCTACACTTCTGGGGTTCAAGCGATTCTTCTGCCCCAGCCTCCTGAGTAGCTGGGATTATAGGTACACACCACCATGCCCAGCTAATCTTTTTATTTTTAGTAGAGACAGGGTTTCACCATGTTGGTGAGCCTGGTCTCGAACTCCTGACCTCATGACCTGCCCGTCTCAGTATCCTCAAGTGCTGGGATTACAGGCGTAAGCCACCGTGCCCGGCCAGGAAAGAGGTTTGATGGGCTCACGGGTCTGCAGGCTGTACAGGAAGCAGAGTGGCTTCTGCTTCTGCGGTGGCCGCAGGAAACTCTGAATTGTGATGGAAAGCAAAGGAGAAACAGGCACCTCTTTGGTGGCTGGAGCAGGAGGAAAGTCAGGGGGATGCCACACGCATTTAAACAACCAGATCTCACGAGAGCTGTATCATGAGAACAGCACCAAGGTGATGGTGTGAAATCATTCATGAAGGCTCCACCCCATGATCCAGTCACCTCCCACCATTTCCCACCTCCAACATTGGCGATTATAATTGAATAGGAGATTTGGGTGGGGACACGGATCCAACCCGTATCACAAATTTCTAAGGAGGACCCCAGGAGGTTACAGCAGAACGCACAGGCCCTGGGCTGAGGCTGGGAGGGAGTCCCCGGAGCTCTACAGCAGAGGGAGGGAGAGATGAATTCAAGAGAGGGGGCCGAGACCCAGTACCCATAGGGACAGGCCAGGTACTGAAGACTTGCATTGTAAGGTAACGGTGACTGTGTCTCGCTCACCTTCAACTACCATCCCCACACCCAAAACACGCCATTTCCACAGTAGCAAACATTCAGAGCAGTTGTTTCTGGATAACTCTGTCACAGTGTCGCTGTAGCTGAAAGGAAATTTAGCCATCTTCTCTACTTCTGAAGATTTAAGGTAATAAACTCCTTCTCCTTTGTCTAAGCGTCTATGGATTTTTCTGACCTGCGAATCCTCCTCAACTTTTTATAACTGGACATAAAAATGCACATAACTGAACACCAGACCAAGAGGGAAGGACACGGGGAGAAGAAAATTGCAAATGCTGATCATATTCTTTCAGGAAAGCCTGTGTTCCAATCTTGCCAGTTATTTGTGAACTTATTTTTTATATTTTCCCGATGCTGATAACATGTAGAAGTTACACAGAGATAAAGATTCAATGTATAAGGCAAGAAGGATAGCTGGTGGGGGAGGAGGGAAGCCAGGAGAAAGCAGTGTCCAGCAAAGGAAGGGGAAAAACAGACAAGTGTCATTAATTGTATTCAATGCTAACTGCTTAAGTGAGATAGAATTTATTTTAAAAATTGATGTTATGGCCGGGCACGGTGGCTCAAGCCTGTAATCCCAGCAGTTTGGGAGGCCGAGGCGGGTGGATCACGAGGTCAGGAGATCGAGACCATCCTGGTCAACATGGTGAAACCCCGTCTCTACTAAAAATACAAAACATTAGCTGGGCATAGTGGCGTGTACCTGTAATCCCAGCTACTCAGGAGGCTGAGGCAGGAGAATTGCCTGAACCCAGGAGGCGGAGGTTGTGGTGAGCCGAGATCGCGCCATTGCACTCCAGCCTGGGTAACAAGAGCGAAACTCCGTCTCAAAAAAAAAAAAAAAAAAAAAAAAAAAAAAATTGATGTTATTAGTGACTACAAAAACCAGCTTTATTGAAGTGGGTTCAGGAGACAGTGACATGAAAGAAACGGAAAATACCAAAAATAGAAAGGGACATTTTAAAGATTTTTATACGTGTAGCATCTGCTTTAATTACGTCTCAAAAATGGGTGGGTTGTAAATGGAAGAGGCTGAATATTGATAATTGTAGAAGCTGGTGATGGGTACGTGAATTCATTATACTAGTATCTCTGAGAGAAGCTTATAATATGTTTAAACCACATTTTAAGCAATAAATGGGCTGGGTCATATGAACATCAAATGAATGGAAGTTGTTCTTTTTTTAACCTAAATTCATCATCTTTTTTTTTTTTTTTTTTTTGGAGACAGAGTTTCGCTCTTGTTACCCAGGCTGGAGTGCAATGGCGCGATCTCGGCTCACCGCATCCTCCGCCTCCTGGGTTCAGGCAATTCTCCTGCCTCAGCCTCCTGAGTAGCTGAGATTACAGGCACGCGCCACCATGCCCAGCTAATTTTTGTATTTTTAGTAGAGACGGGGTTTCACCAGGTTGACCAGGATGGTCTCGATCTCTTGACCTCATGATCCACCCACCTGGGCCTCCCAAAGTGCTGGGATTACAGGCTTGAGCCACCGTGCCCGGCCTTGAATTAAATCTTAATTGATACATGCTGTATATGAAATATCAGTTTATGGTATAAATCAGAGGCTTCCTATTCTATAGGAAAGATTCATGCTTGTTTTTTCAAATTCACTACAATCCTCTGTGATTTCTAGGAAAGAATAGAGAGGAGAGAAGAGGTAGACATCAGACTGTAGAGAGGCAATACTGTGTAAAAATGAAAAAACAAAAGATTTATTTCTGTTTTCCTAGGCTGCAGAAATCTGCCTTTGATGAAGAATCTCAGAAGATGCTGATGGCTCTGGAAGAAAAATGTCCCCACCTGAGCATTTCACATGAACCTTGGATTGAGGAGGAATATAGGATCAGGGGTGTGATCCCCTAATGGGGAGCGCCCTGAAGTAGTTTTCTCACAGAGGCTTCCCTGGATCATAACGAGCACTTCTCCTCCTGTAACTGCATGTCACGGCAGCAGGGCTGTGATTTCAGGGCGACTCCCTGACAGTGTTCTAGCAACATGATTATGGAGTGTGATTCAGTAGGTAGGTGCTGATGCTCCTGGCGCAGGTCCTATATTCCCTTATCTTTAGAAATCCCATCCTACTTTGTGACACTTAGCACTCATTTAACATGCTTGTTTTTCTAAGTGTTCTGGAAAGCATGGCTTTATCTTCTTAGAGGATGTCCTGGTGTGTAGGACCACGGATTTGCAGGCCCCACAATCCTGATACTTCTGTCGTAGAAGTGATGCTAAAATGTGTCTACAGATTGTACTGTGAGCACCCAACTTTCTAGTTTGTCCACATGTGGATTTGATCAGTTTTCTTGTCCAATTAAAAAGCATTTTCAAATCTCACCTTATCCTTTCGCGTACGACACTCCAACAGATTTTTTTCGAAAAATTCAATGTTATTCAAATCTATCTACGCTGTTTATATATATTTTAAAAGACAATATTAAACACCTCACTGACCTAAGTAAACATTCCCTAGTTCTCTACAGTAAATTGCTCATGCCTTATTGGCTTGGTCTAACATATATATTTATTTATTTTGAGACGAAGTCTCACTCTGTCCCTTAGGATAGAGTGCAATGGCACCATCTCAGCTCACTGCAACCTCTGCCTTGGCAGCCCAAGTAGCTGGGATTACAGGCACTCACCACTAGACCCAGTTAATTTTTTTATATTTTTAGTGGAAACGGGGTTTCACTATGTCGGTCAGGCTGATCTCGAACTCCCAACCTCAGGTGATCTACCAGCCTCGGCCTCCCATAGTGCTGGGATTACAGTTGTGAGCCACAGCACGGAGCCTAAAATTTTTAGTAGAGTGCAAAAGGTGATAAAGAAGGTGGATTATGTATCAGTTTTCATTAGATTAAAATATAATCTCAGATTCTCTTGAGAATGAGAAATTGTTGTGGACCTACTCTTGGCTGCAATGGTACACTTATGGATTCTTTGGATACTGGGGAGGCTGAATTTTCTAGTCTTCGGTGGACAGCGCTCACACTTTTGGCTTTAATTTTACTTCCATATATTTAAGCAATTATCAACGTTTTGTCAAATTCTCTATTACTTTTGGCCTTTCCCCACAATGTTAAAGAATGCTGGCATTGGCCGGGCGCGGTGGCTCAAGCCTGTAATCCCAGCACTTTGGGAGGCCGAGGCAGGTGGATCACGAGGTCGAGAGATCGAGACCAACCTGGTCAACATGGTGAAACCCCGTCTCTACTAAAAATACAAAAAAATTAGCTGGGCATGGTGGTGCGTGCCTATAATCCCAGCTACGCAGGAGGCTGAGGCAGGAGAATTGCCTGAACCCAGGAGGCGGAGGTTGCGGTGAGCTGAGATCGCGCCATTGCACTCCAGCCTGGGTAACAAGAGCAAAACTCCGTCTCAAAAAAAAAAAAAAAAAAAAAAAAAGAATGCTGGCATAATCTTCCTCCTGTTTCCTTCCCCTAATACCAGCCCATGTGACCAGGAATGCTGTTACCATTCAGGAATAAAGGGGGAGAGCCTGGTGGGCCAAAGACAGACAAGGAAGCAGGGCTGTATGAGAACACGGAAAAACTTAGTCTCCAGCAGAGTCCTGTAGATAAATTAGGGAAACGTGAGGTCTGAGATGACATAGAAAAGCTTCAAATGGGATGTCTTCCAGACTACTCAGACCTGGGGCAATAAACAACCAGAGCTGTGGAACTTCAAGTCGTGGGGAAGATCAGACTGGATCCTACACAGATGCTCTGTATTAGCATGCTTCGATTGCCAGCGTGATTTTGGAAAAGTGAAAGGGCTGGGCACGGAGGCTCATGCCTGTAATCCCAACACTTTGAGAGGCCAAGGTGGGTGGATCAACTGTCAGGAGTTGTGGAGACCAGCCTGGCCAACATGGTGAAACCCTGTCTCTACTAAAAATACAAAAATTAGCCAGGCATGATGGTGGGTGCCTGTAATCCCAGCTACTCAGGAGGCTGAGGCAAGAGAACTGGTTGAACCTGGAAGGTGGAGGTTGCAGTGAGCCGAGATGGCACCACTGCACTCCAGCCTGGGTGACAGAGACTCTCTCTCTCTCTCAAAAAAAAAAAAAAAAAAAAAAAAAGGCATTGAAGCAAATGCCCAATTTTAAATAAAAAAGGGGAGCCCCGACCCATTGCTGAGTGTCCCTTCCACTCTGATGACGACGATTCTGACCTTAAATTCTCCTACAGGGAGCAAAGAAAACTTCTGGTTCAGCCGCTTCTTACCATCCTCTCACTAACTGCTGAAAGCTGTCATTCATCACCAGAAGGGGCTGAGGGGGATTTTCACTGGGGATACATTTTGCTCCTCACTAAATATTCTCCAGACTCTCCCTACTGACAATGTCATGGAACCTACAGATGATACGATAATGGTGTCTCTGTGGAGAGAGCACTCCAGGAGCCCTGGCCCTATAACTAGGGACTCAGGTGTCCCTGCTCATCCCGACTGACTCTTCCCTGCACACAGCTCTGGAGCCAAGAGGAGCCACGTGGGTGCTTGCTTATGTTCAGTCTCGGGGAAGATGACAGGATACGGGTGTTATCCCACCAGAGAGCAACACAGCGCAGTGGCTGTGAAGTCACATTGTTCAGAGTGGGCGATACCTCTGCCTCACGCTGATATCCCAGCATGCTCTGGCTGGACAGATGTGGGTGGCCATCTGCAGGGGAGTGTCTCAGGTAGGACCTCAGGTGAGGGTGGCTGCAAATCTCTGCATCCTAGAGACCCTGTCAATGACAGAAGGGTGGGCAGGGTCTTTTTTGGAGTCTGAAGTAAACCTTGGCTGACCAGACCCACTGAGCTCAACCATGTACAAAGAATCTGCTCATTTTCTCAGACCCAATAGATTTAGACTTGGGCATGAACAGAGAGAAAAAATTGAAGTGCAGGGCGTTTGTTAAACCTTAAATACCCTAAAATACATGTACAAAGAGAAATCCATAGAAACAGTCTATGGCACATTACGGCGTGATGGGCGTCTCTTGTTTCTCAAATCCCACTGCAGTAGGATGCATCTCCGTATTTCTGTAGGGACTTCCGGGATGCTTTTCTGTGTTCTACACTGTGTGTGTGGTGCATGTGTCTCTGCGTGTGCTGTAAGTGAACAAAAAGCTCTATACTTCCTTAACATGATGAAGCAATGAGAAAAAAATTAGAAGTCTAGTTAGTATTCAGATTTTATAAAAGTGTGATATTTCTACAGTGAATTGCTCCTGCCTTATTGGCCTGGCCTAAAATTATTACCAAATGTAAAAGCAATGTGATACAGAAGCTGGATTCTATAACACCAATTAAATTAATTGAAATATAATCTCAGATTCTTCTCAGAACGGGAAATTGTGGATCTATTCTTGGATCCCCGGCACACTCCCTGATTCTGGGGATACTCGGGCAGCCTGGGTTCTCATTACTGGGATTTTAACAAGCAAAAGATGGGAACAGGGGCTCAGATGCAGAAATGTTGGCAAATGTCAAGACAGGGGATTTATCTTCATGTTGAAAATTGAAATATTTCCAATGTTCATATCCAGGAAAATGCAATTAAGGTAATTTGTTTTTTTTTTTTTTTAACCAATATTGCCTCAGTATCATTCTGTGTCTAGGCTTTTAATACAGCTAAGGGCTAAGTCATCAAAACAAGTAAAAGAGCACTGGCAGGGGTTGGTAATCAAAAAAAAGTAAAAAATAATCAACTACCATGACAGTTCTGCTATGGTTAAATGAGCACTAACTTTGTTCCAGCCACTGGGATCAACAATTCACATGAAACTCACACTGTATGTTCACACCTGTCTCACGATCTATCTTAATGATTACGTATGTCTGTTATATAGTATTAGTACATGCTTTTTTTTCTTTTGAGATGGAGACTTGCTCTGTCACCCAGGCTGGAATGCGGTGGCAAGATCTCGGCTCATGGCAACCTCCGCCTCCCGGGGTCAAGTGATTCTCCTTACGTCTCCGGAGTAGCTGAGATTACAGGCGCCCACCACCACCATGCCTGGCTAATTTTTGTATTTTTTTAGTAGAGACAGGGTATCACCATGTTGGCGAAGATGGTTTTGAACTCCTGGGCTCAAGTGATTCACCCACCTTGGCCTCCCAAAGCACTGGCATTACAGGCATGAGCCACTGCACCAGGCCTCATGCTCTACGTTTTCAATGAGAAAACTGATACAATGGTAAAAAGAAAACCCATGTTGGACTCAGCTAATAAGTGAATGATCCTGATACACAGTAGGAGCTTTCTGGTTACGGAGGCTGGAATCTCTCTGCTCTGCACTCTGCTCTGAGGCTTCCAACCGAAGGGGGAAGGTCTGAGGGCTGAAGGGAGTGTCCTAACGTCTCGGCACCACTGACTGGGGAGTCAGGAACCAGACCCAGATCTGGTGAATGCACAGCTGGTGGGAATAAGCTCTCTGCTGTCTCCCTCCTGTGTTATCTACATAGTGTTTCATAACATGGAGAGTTTTCCTACAGAGCAAGGAGTTTTGGTGACATAGGGGTTGTGTTCCAACTTCCCATTTCCCTTCTGTACCTGATAGTGGCTTCGGAATCATATGTGGATCTTTAAGACGACTGCCTCTGGAAGACATTACTCCTTTAACCAGAAGGTGCCAATCTTTGTGTTGTATCTCACATAATCTTGTTCTTCAGTCAAGAGTGCTCTGATCAAACCTCTATGTGATACTCTTATGGACTGTGAGTGATTTTGAGCCGAGGTAAATAGTCTCTCATTTGTAAAATCTAGAACTAATGAGATTTAAAATAATCTGTGGGTGCAATAGGTCTAATGATCACATTTATTTCTGGAGTGAGTTTGAAGAGGACTGGAGACCACTCAGGGAAAACTCTCTAGGACCTGGTTTGTCAGCAAGGTAAGATCTGTGGAATTATTAATAATTAAAATTATTTGGCTGGGTGCTGGCTCACGCCTGTAATCCCAGCACTTTGGGAAGCCAAGGTGGGTGGATCACTTGAGATCAAGAGTTACAGACCCCTGGTCAACATGGCAAAACCCCCGCCTCTACTAAAAAATATAAAAATTAGCCTGTTGCGGTGTGCGCCTAACATCCTAGCACTCCGGGAGGTCAAGGCAGGTGGACTGCCTGAGCTCAGGAGTTGGAGACCAGCCTGGGCAACATGGTGGAAGCCCATCTCTACCAAAAATTCAAAAACTGAGCTAGGCACGGTGGTGCACGCCTGTAATCTCAGCTACTTGGAAGGCTGAGGTACAAGAATAGCTTGAACCAGGGAGGCAGAGGTTGCAGTGAGCCAAGATCACACCATTGCACTCTAGTCAGGGCAACAGAGCAAGACCCTGTCTCGGAAAAAATTATTTTTCAATAGGGATATTTTATCTACTAAATAGAATATCTGAGGACATTTTAGGGTTATCATGTATTCAGAGGGCTAACGATGTTTAAATGTATTTTGTATCCAGTTACTCCAATAAATCATGTTGAGTTCTTAAGAGTTCATAATTAATGACTCTGTAATTTTAACAAGTTAATCTTAAGATGTGAACATGATTTTGCAGTTTTTCATTTCATTTTTTTTTTTTTTTTGAGACGGAGTTTTGCTCTTGTTGCCCAGGCTGGAGTGCAATGGCGCTATCTCGGCTCACCACAACCTCCGCCTCCTGGGTTCAGGCAATTCTCCTGCCTCAGCCTCCTGAGTAGCTGGGATCACAGGCACGTGCCACCATGCCCAGCTATTTTTTTGTATTTTTAGTAGAGACGGGGTTTCACCATGTTGACCAGGATAGTCTCGATCTCTTGACCTCGTGATCCACCCACCTTGGCCTCCCAAAGTGCTGGGATTACAGGCGTGAGCCACCGTGCCCAGCCCCATTTCATTCTCTTAAGTTAATGCATTGATGTGACAGACAGGATGCTCATGAATTCCAAGTGTGGCACATTGCATCCTTGTTTTTCTTTTTCCAGGCAGATCACCTTTGGGAGGAATTTTTTTTTCATTGTCTCCTTCACTTATTCATTTATAAAGTAGATATTTATTTCACGTATGTCACTCTATTGTTGAACAAGACACACATAGCTCCTAAATTCATGGAACTGATGTTCTGGTGAAGAGTCAGAATGTAAATAAATATAAAAAACTAAGTAGAAATAAATATTAAAAAAAGATAAAATACGAAATTGGTGTCAGGGATATGTTCTGCAAGTTGAGCCTTTTCTGTGGAATATGACGGTATCTGCATTTTCAGGTAAAAAAAAAAAAAAATGCCAAAATTATTTGCTGAGAGCGAAAGCCAAAAAGAGTGTTCATGGCTTCACTGGAAAAGCTGGATCGTCACTCCCGGCCACCCAGAAATCCTCTCCATGTCTTTTCAGAACAATGTCCTAAGAACCATAGGGGAAGTGGCCATCAAAACCATCTTTCCCTTCCAGCTTGGGGCTGGGACTCTGGCCAATGTCATTCTGTCCTTCTGTCATATCTCTCCCACCTTGACTGGCCACAGAACGAGGCCCACACACAGGATTCTCGCCCACGTGGCCGTGGCTAATTCCCTGGTTCTTCTCTCCACTGGGATTCCTCACACAGTGGTGTCTTTTGTTCTAGGGAATCCCCGGTCCGGTCTTGAGTGTAAACTCATGCATTACACCCACCTGGTGGCTCGCAGCTCCACCCTGTGCTGCACCTGTGTCCTGAGCACCTATTAGTACCTGTCAGCCCTGGGAGCCCAGGGAGGGTGACGCTCAGAGGAAGAGCCCCCAAGGCCATCGGTCCTTTCATTTGCACCTGCTGGATGTTCAGCGTCTTGCTCAATGTCTATATTCCTGTGGCAGTCACTGGTCCACAGGACGCAAAGGATGATGACACCCAAGGCAAAGGGTTCTGCTCACGCTCGAATCACACCGCAGGCCTAGCCTTCTTTCGGTCAGCACCTGATGCCGTGTTTATTGGCCTCATGGGCTGGGCCAGTGGCTCCATGATTCTTCTCCTGCAGAGACACAGCCAGAGACTGTGGCATCTTCACACCACCAACCGACACCACAAACGGCCGCCTGAGACCAGAGCCACCCACACCGTCCTGATGCTGATGGTCACCTTTGTCACATTTTACATGCTGAACTCTATGTTTACTTTGTTTATCACTGCATTTTTGGATACTCGTCTGTGGTTGATACACATCCCAGGTGTTTTGAATTCATGTTTTCCCACTGTTCGCCCCTTACTACTCATACTGAGGGATCCCAGAATGCCTGGGTTCTGCTCTTGAACTGGCGAAAATCAGGGCTGAAATGGTAACTGTAGACGATAGCTTCCACAATGGCCATAATTACTCTCTTTAAGCACCATTTTCCAAGGACCATTTCCTTTTAACTACAATCCACAACAATCTCAATAAACCGATGGGATATTGCTGCTGCATGGGGTATATGCCTGTGTACAGATGAAATGATGGGCTCAAGAGGATTCATCACATTTTGAGCAAAGAAGTTTCCTCTTCTGCCAGTGGAGTTCTCTAAAAGGAATCTCTTTTCTTTGGGAGTAGGTAAAGAGTTTCCACAAAGTTTATCTCAATGTGGGTGTGGCTAATTCTTGACAAACATTGGTACATAATTTAATATGGGTCCAGGTAAGTTTTCCTCAGGGGCAGGTAGATATTTCATCTCATAGATGAAGACAAGAAACCTCAAAGATGGAGTGTGTGCTTTTCTACATCATTTTGTATATTTAGCTCACTTACATTTCTTTTAAAATGTTGTGTTTTGGAAAAAACAATGGTGTAGGCCGGGCGCGGTGGCTCAAGCCTGTAATCCCAGCACTTTGGGAGGCCGAGGCGGGTGGATCACGAGGTCTAGAGATCGAGACCATCCTGGTCAACATGGTGAAACCCCTTCTCTACTAAAAACACAAAACATTAGCTGGGCATGGTGGCGCGTGCCTGTAATCCCAGCTACTCAGGAGGCTGAGGCAGGAGAATTGCCTGAACCCAGGAGGCGGAGGTTGCGGTGAGCCGAGATCGCGCCATTGCACTCCAGCCTGGGTAACAAGAGCGAAACTCCGTCTCAAACAAACAAACAAACAAACAAACAAAAAACGAAAACCAAAAACAATGGTGTACAGATTACTTCTTAAAACCTTGCAGATTTTCTGTATGTGGTTAACCCTTTATGAATGTCACTGGATGGATGGATGACATGATGCTGAGGGGGCTGCTTTAGCACCAAAGCTCTGCTCTTCCCAGGATCTCATGCCAGGGTTTACATTATTCACCCCTACGGATGGAAGCATCTATGGGTTTGTTACCTGGATTTTTATTTTTCATCACTGAAAATAATAAAATTTAATTTATTAAAGGGAAATTAATAAAACACTGGGACTGTGTCTTCTATCTGTCCTAACCTATCCAATTTTCCCCATCTTTGTTTCTCTTTTTACGACCTTTGGGGATAGTCTGGTATTCTTAATAGACCATTTTTTTTTCTTAGCAGTGTTAAGGTGCAAATATTTTTAGCAGTTGTTACAACCATCATATTATGGATTCCTGTTACATCTAATTAGAACTACTATTTCCCACCTTCCAGAATATATACATTCATATACACTCCTAAATACTTTGTGCTATTGTTTCATACTCTTTAATTCTGTATATGTTATAACTCACAATAAATGCTGCTTTTGCCATCAAGAGTCAGCTGTCTCTCATGGAGAATGAGAAATGAAAAGAAAGTATGGATTCCACATGGATGCCATTTCTGCTGCTCCTGGTTCTGACTGTCTTTCCCTGGTACAGTTTGCAATCAGAGTAAAGTAATTGCTCAAGCTTTTTCAGAGTGCATGCTTGCTAGAGGTAAATTACTCAGTTTTTCATCTTAAAATACCTTTGTTTTTTGTATGAAACTGTACAAAATATTTATCTTTATAAAAATGTATTATGATGAATAATAAAACTATATTAGCAATATCCAACTTAATTTTAAAAATTAGGAAATGAAGTTTTGATACTCAATGCAAAATAATTTCAAATATACATATTTTTCTCCCTTACTCAGTTTTCCCAACTGTTAATATTTCACCAATTTTACCTATCAATATTGTTCTCTGTATATTATCCAATCATCAGTAGTGTTTACTTAACTCACTGAAAGCGAGCTGCTTGGCATGGTTCTCACCATGCCTAACTCCTCTGTGTGGTTTTTCCTACAATGAGATGCTCTCTTACAAACAACCATACTGTTGTTGAAGTCGGAAAACCAATTAGATAAAGCACTACTGCTCAAGCCACGGGCCCAAATCATGTATTCAACCAACCTAGTAATACCTCCTTTTCCTTTCTGGCCCAGGGGACAACTGGGAACATGCCCTCTCTCTTCTCCACGCTCCAGTTGTTTCTCTGTCATCCTCAGCATCCCTGTCCTCAACGTTCTATAGAATGACCCTCCTGTGTCTGGTGGTTCCTCAGGCCTAGACTCAGTTTCCTCTCCATTGTCAAAGAACTCTGACGTTACCACTCTCTATTTGTTTTTTTTTTTTTTTTTTTTTTTTTTTTTTTGAGACGGAGTTTCGCTCTTGTTGCCCAGGCTGGAGTGCAATGGCGCGGTCTTAGCTCACCGCAACCTCCGCCTCCTGGGTTCAGGCAATTCTCCTGCCTCAGCCTCCTGAGTAGCTGGGATTACAGGCACGTGCCACCATGCCCAGCTATTTTTTTTGTATTTTTAGTAGAGACGGGGTTTCACCATGTTGACCAAGATGGTCTCGATCTCTTGACCTTGTGATCCACCCGCCTCGGCCTCCCAAAGTGCTGGGATTACAGGCTTGAGCCACCGCGCCCGGCCTTTTTTTTTTTTTTAAAGCTTTTTCATCTATAATCTTTCGTTTGTTATGAATTTAATTACTGAGATCACAATTCAATATAGGGATACATTTTCTATTATGTCTTTAATTTTTAAAAATAGATTTCAGCAACAAGGCTCTGCTCTTCTCAGGATCTCATGCCAGGGTTCGTATTATTCACCTTGATGACCTCAGCACGTTGGCGCCTGCCAACTCTCCAGCTAAATTTACCATTTGGCCTTTGTAACTGATTAGCATTTTATGAGTGAGATACCCTTACATTATCCCAATATGCCGTTTCTCATTACACTCAAAGTGACTCACTTAAGACTCTTCCAATTCCAATCTGATTCAACCTACAACAGAATTATTGTCTAACATCAGCCTTCAACATTTAGTAGCAGTTGTCTACAGAAGGAAGATGTTTCCCTTCTCCTTTATTCATCTATCTATCATCTACCGATAGATGTATACCTATTATCTATTCATTCATCACTTTATATCGAAAGGGCTCCTAGATTTCAGTATTTTTCAATAGGCTGCATTCAGATGCAATCATTATCTGTCTTCATTCTCATGGTGTCCTTGATTTGGTCAGTAGGACATGAAGCTCCCATAATTTTAAACAAGACAATGCTTGGATGTTCCAGATGCAGCCCTGTTACCAGCTCTTTCACCAAGGAATTTATTCCTTTATTCCTTCTCATGGAGATAGGCATTTAGAAGCCAAATCTTCTATTAGCTGTGTGTCGTGCTATTAGTATGTGGTAGTGTATCCATCACCGGAATACTGTACACTGTGGCTAGTAGGTACTTTAAAATCTTTCACCCCCTTCTCACCCTCTCACCCTTCTGAGTCTCCAATGTCTATTATTCCACTGTAGCTGAGACAAACAAATGCAAAAATGTTCACGTGTACCAACAGTTTAGCTTCCAATTATAATTAAGAACATGCAGTAGGGGCCGGGCGCGGTGGCTCAAGCCTGTAATCCCAGCACTTTGGGAGGCCGAGGCGGGTGGATCAAGAGGTCAAGAGATCGAGACCATCCTGGTCAACGAGGTGAAACCCTGTCTCTACTAAAAAAAAAAAAATTACAAAAACTTAGCTGGGCATGGTGGTGCGTGCCTGTAATCCCAGCTACTCAGGAGGCTGAGGCAGGAGAATTGCCTGAACCCAGGAGGCGGAGGTTGCGGTGAGCCGAGATCGCGCCATTGCACTCCAGCCTGGGTAACAAGAGCGAAACTCCGACTCAAAAAAAAAAAAAAAAGAACATGCAGTCTTTGACTTTCTGAGTTATTTCACTTAGGATGATCTTTAGTTCCATCCAGTTGCTGCAAAAAACATGATTTATTATTTTTTTATGGCTGAGTATTCCAGTGTGTGCGACTATATATATATGGCTAAGTAGTATTCCATGGTGCGTACACACACACACACACGCACGCACACACATACACACTTTCATTTTTAAAGACAGGGTCTCATCTGTCACTCAGGGTGGAGTGCAGTGGCATGATCACAGTACACTGTACCTGCTAACTCCTGAACTCATGTGATCCTCCTGCCTCAGCTTCCCAAGTAGCTGGGACTACAGGCATGTGCCACCACACCTGGCTAATTTTTTGATGTTTTTTTTTTTTGAGACAGGGTCTCACTATGTTGCTCAGGCCCGTCTCAAACTCCTGGCCTTAAGCCATCCTTCCGTGCTGGGATGACAGGCATCAGTCCCTGCACATGGCCTATTATTTCACTTGGCAAGTCCAAGAGTGCCAGTTGCTTAGCGCCCACTGATAACTGAGCACGTTAGTATTTGACTTTCTGAGTTACTTCACTTAAGACAATGTCCTCCACTTCCATCAATGTTGCCACAAAAAGACAATTTCATTCTTTTTATGGCTGAGTAGTATTCCATGTATATACACACACCCCATTTTCTTTATACAGTATGGATTTTACATTCCCCTTTTCTTTATCTGCGTCGGTTGATAGACACTGAGGTTGATTCTGACTTTGTCATTGTGAATAATGGTGTGATAATCATGAGTGCAGGTGTCCTTTGCTTTTTTTATTTTTTTTCCTTTTTAAAATTTTTTGTGTCTTTTAGATATAAGGTTTTCTCTTCCTTTGGGTAGATACCCAGGAGTAGGATTACTGGATCAAATGATTCTTCTATTTTTAGTTTTTTTTCAGAAATCTCTAGACTGTTTTCCATAGAGGTTGTACTTACATTCCCATGTATGGTGTATAAGTGCTCCATTTTC